TGAGCCACCAAAAGATTGTGCTGATCTAAATTACTGATTTATGTAGAATACACAAACTTTTTACCAAGTCAAACTGATGGAACACTTATTGTAAGCTACAGCAACTGTTACCACCCATCATGTCAGCAAAAAAAATTAAGGTAGAACGGGTAGAACATAGAAATGGTAAACACTAGTTGCATTCTGTGAATGGCTCACACCACTATCATTGCCACTATGTTCTTTTTTTTTATTCACAACAGCTGGTCCATATAGATGGGATGTCTACTTCAGTACCCTATAGTCAGTGGTACGGTGGGAAACGGACAGAGGAGCGCAAGTCGTAAAACTGTCAACCCCTCGGCCGAAGAATTCGTCGGGGTAGGACCAAGGAGCGCAGAGGTGCTTGCGCTCCTTGGTCCTACCCGTGCAAGGAACTAATCCCCTAATTACGAGGGTTGAACAAGACAATGCTTGAGTCGACCCTGTGAGTATATCCCATTAGTCGCGCCTCACTGACTACACCATTGATTCAGGTATATTTTTCTAGTGCAACTTATTACCAAACTAATGTATCAACAAATTACCAGGCCGTCCACTTTCACTTTCGAATTTAAATTGCAATATAAAAGCTGATCCTTCAGTTGAATGTTAAACCACATTTAGATTTTTTTTATTTTATAAAAATGGATTTTAAATAGGCTACTTTTTAATAATTGCGACTTGATTAAGGTAGGTGACTTTAGTCTTCATGGTGTGGATCTAAAATCAATGAATGGAAATTGTTGTAAATTAGTAAGTTTATTCACTTTTAATAACTGCTTTAAACAAACATAATCTTTGAAAAGAAAGGGGTATAGCACCGTTAGTTTTACCTTAGAAAAGGTGTTAAACCCTATTAAAATGTGCAAATTTGCAATGGGACCCCTCGCAATGAAATATACTAATTTTTATGCAGGAATGGTTTGTAAAATACTTAGCTAATTTAAATCCATGAATACAATTAAATGCTTTCAACATGTACCCACCATTGATAAAAACAACCTGAATTTTTCATCTTAGTTTTATAGGTAAATTAAACAGACAGAAACCATCTCTTCTTTATGATATGTAAAATGCGCATATCCATTGAAGTACTTTATTTTTCCATTGATTGATAAAAAGAAAAGGTAATACAAAACATACGTACCAATACAGTATATAGTTGATATACTTTGCAGTTTCTCAGACTCGAGAGCAAGGATCGGAGTCAGAACTTTACTATGTATATCGTATTTGTGTCAAAATGATGACTTTTTATGTGGACAATTTTGTACTATTTCGAATCCCATATATTTTTTCCAAAAATACAATACGGGCCATTCTCAATTCATTTCACATTTCTTAGGAGGTAAGCTTTACTTTTTAATGCCAACAGTGATAACATAATATTACAAACATACCCCCGCCGCAGCAAACCTGCAGACTAAGCGAATTTCCATTTGACTGATTGGATTTACACTGAAATGTCTACTTAAAAATATAACATTTATTCTTGATTTAAATAGAATTAGTTTAACAAGTACTTAGGTTTGCTGCATCAGGGAGGGTAAAACTGTTTTTTTTTTTTGTAAAATGTGAATAGTTAGTAAGAAATAAAAACATTTTCCAAATTTGATCAACATATGTTCACAAACAAGCAAACTACAACAGTTTACTTATTCTCCATAAGAATAACATGGGAATTTTAAATTTACAATTTTTTGGAATTTTCTCCGTAACCATTAGGCGCATAATAACGCTTCAATATACTAAATTATTTGTTTTTTTAAGCTCTACAAAATGGTTTGGAAAGAAATTGCTAAATTTTATGTTTTTTGGGTCAAAAATGGGAAAAACCTATTTTTACCCCATAAAACCCCCCGTAAACCCCCGTTCCCATGGTCCGATCATGCTGGATCGCGAACTCGTTCGAATAAACGTACGTTTACACGTTTGTGCCAAATTTCATCAAAATCGGATCATTTTTGCTCGAGTTATTGTGCTGACGGACACATATATATATAAATATATATATATATATATGAATTTGAACGGATGGTGTTTTTGGCCTCTAGGGACCTCAAAACGAAAAAAAAATCGGTCCCGCGTCCAGGTCTTGCCATGAGTACTACGGTAATAGCTTATTCCCTATATGGGAAATTCGCTATTTTTTAAAGTTACTTAGCCAACACTTTATATGGTAGCATGAATCAAATTCCATATAATTTTAAAGTTATTGCAATTCCAAATCATCTTCCTAATTTAAACTCAATTTGTATTACAGTACTTTCAACCGAGAATAGAACTTTCTTTAGGAATCTGCACCGGTAACGAATTTGTAAAATTGGTCACCTTATTGGATGTACAGCAAGAAACTAAAAAACCCCACGTCACTGATTGTAAGTTACTCATTACTTATTATCTCTTATTTGATTCTAGACTCAAAAGTTTATTTTTTTATAATAGATAATTTACTTTGTAACTGGTAACACTACTTGAATAAAGACAAGTTTTAATTTTTGTAGTTTACTCTTTTTTTAGAATTCCTTTTAGAGTATGTGCCGGTTATTGTTATTTGAATTTAGCATTAAAATAGAGTAATTATGTTTATATTTATTGGTAATCCGGAGGCTATAAAATCTACTTAAACGATGCTTAAACCATTACTTTAGAAATAGCCAAGTAAATTCTGATTAAACAAATTTGTGCTTGTCTAAACAGTTGGGAATAATTATAGGATCTTGAGGAGTAAATGTTTTCATTAGATACACTTTTTTGTCGGCAATACAACAGTTAAAAAAGTAAACGAAACAAAATAATCGATTTATTAACAGATATTTCTAACTATATACTTTCAGAAAAACCTAAGTAATTCTTATTCAAAAAGTATTTTTAAATTTAAACAAAGCCTATGTAAACAACACTACTTTTTGAAGTAAATTCAGCCCAGGCACATTGTCATTTGGCAAATATCACTTTCAGCAGTAGGCTCACCCACCTAATCCGGAATTGCACAACATAATATAATGTTGTTCTTAAGAATTAGTTTCAAGAATGGTATGCGTTGCTCCTAAATAGTACGAACGTCCGGTAATATTAAGTCATTCAATATCCTAACCTCTATCACGAGAGAAAATGTCAGGTGTTTCCACAGGACGGAGACAAAGGTTGAATCACGGGTCGATGATCAAAACAAATCACGTAGAATCATGCATGCTATAAGCAATTAATAGTCGCCATGCCTTCAAAGCTATTTCAAAATTTTATAAACTATACCTGCAAAACAAAATAATGTAAACATTTGATAGTTCTGAAACGCAGAGAGAAAGTTTAGCTTTCTCGAATAATGTAATATGATTTTAATTATAATAGGATAATGCAAATTTAGTTCCGTACTATTTAGTGATAAATATTTAATTTGTATTAAACTGCACTTAGAAAAATATGCAGTTTGTCTGCATTGAAAATGGGCTTATTAACGTAGGACAAAAACCAACTGTTTTTAAGATAACTACTTCGAATGCATAATACAGTATCTTGCATTGTCTCTGTTAACATATTTATAGTTTCAAAATTACTCCTTACATTTTCATTTTAAAGTAGTGTATTCAATGAGGCACGACTAATGGGATTTACTTGCAGGGTTGACCCAGCCATTGTCTCTTTTAATCCGTATAATTAGGGGATTAGTTCCTTGCATGGGTAGGACTGAGGCGCGCAAGGTACCTCTGCGCTCCTTGGTCCTACCCCTACGGATTTTATTTATGACCTCCCATTAGAGCAAGTATTGTGCGCTCCTCGGTCCGCGAATCTGGTACGGTACACTATGTTTGTTATGAAAATACTGTTGCAAAAATAGCTATTTTTACCAACATATCAACAACATTTGGACAAAATCAACCATAACCAAACTATACTTACTGACCTTAGATTGTAATGTATTTATACAGTAAATATGTTTCTATGTTTGGACTATATAGAACTATACAATATACATTTCCATTGACCAACACAGAGTACTATAAGTTATAGATTTCTGTCAAATACGCCAACTTTGTAACCAAGTCAAACTGAAAAAAGGACAACTATATGTACTATAGTATCTGTTATACTCAATCCTTGAACCTCATTGGTCCGTTACCCGTGTTGTTATGAGTAAAACTATGCTGTTATGTGAAACTTTTTAATTCTAAGAACTGAACTGAAGCGGCTACTTTGAAAACGGTCGTAGGTAAAAATATTAATGCATTACCTAAATAAATGTATAGTAGAGCAACCATTAACTTAGAACATTTTTATAACATAAAAATTTGATTTTACAAAATTTGAAAAATTATGTTTTTAAAAAGTCCTAGCCATGTGTAGGTCTACTCAAATTGTACGTAATCGTACACTTAACAAAATATTCACAAATTTTTAAAATAAAACCATAGATTAAAAGAATTAGACATATCTATGATAAAACTAATCACCAATCAAAAGATTCGTCAATACATTATAAAATGATATACGTAATTAAACAATTTTGTTCTTCTGTAAATTCTTGTCACATGCGTTGACTGACTTTAGTTGGGTTTTCCCTGATCCCAACTGACTGGAGTGGGTTTTCCCTGCATACTTCGGCATGTTAAAGGGTCAACTTTGATGATTCAGATGGCATAAACACTTTTTTAACATTTTTTATATTTTGACTAGTTAGTTTTCCCCTGCATTATTCATTTTTGTCTATATGTATTTATTCTAATCAGTCTATTATTCTAAAAAAATGTGTTAAAATCACATGTATTCATAATTACTTTTGTAATGGAGAATTCACATGAAGCTGTGCTGTGACCTATACAAAAATGCATTTTACTATATTATGTTAAAAATTTGTCAAAATTGAAGGGTGATAGTGGTTTTACTGGTAGGAGAAGGTGGAGGAGGGGTGCTGACGTGCTTGAGTGAGTGAGAGAGAGAGAGAGAGAGAGTGAGAGAGAAAACAGGGAGATAGAGGACAGACCTGTTTGTCCATTATCAGTCCACATTCTCAGAGGTCAGAGTCAGTTTCCTCTTAGTAGCCAAAGTTAAAAGTGAGATGGAAGGGACTAAGACTCTTTTGTTTATTTCTAGTCTTGTTTTTCTTGGTGAGTTTTATTTCATTTATCAATAATAGTCACTATAGGCTACCAACTATAGGCCGGAAAAATGATTTTTCTTAGTGGTCTTCTTTGAAAATTATTAGTTTTGAACCGTAATTGTTATTAGCAATTGATGGTTGCACTATTTTGTTTGGAATTATAAGGACCATAAACTGTACTAATTTTAATCAAAACCGGCTTTTTTTTAATCTGATTTTTTACTACGGTATCTTAGGGATTATTTATGGGAAAATAAAGTTAGTTACAATAACTTTTAAACCGTGATTTATAAAGCGATGGGACTTGTTTCATTTTGTTCAGAATTTTATAGGATGACCAACATACAAAAACTTTATCAAAATCGTTCAGGCCAGTTGCGAGAAAATTATATTTTCTCCTTATTGTATAGATATATATAGACATATAGATTTTTATGGAAAAACCACTATTAAAATCGATTTTCAAAAAATTTAAAAAATAACCTGGATATAGCATGAATTAGTACCTTTATACCAAATTTAATCTAAATCGGACTACTATGGTCTGTATAGCTCTGTACACATCCACTCATACATCACTTTGAAAACCACTTTTTTGGGTTCAGGGGGACCCAAAACGGATCCACTTAAAACTCAAACTCGAAAATTAGGACGAGAACAATACTCTCTCCATATACTATGGTAGAGAGTTAGAAAGTGACCACATTCTTTTGCAAGATAGGTCAAATTACACTATTTTTGTTCTAAGTTCAACAGTGATCATAATTTTCCTGCAATATTGTTTCAATATTGTTGAAACGGGAATTCCTCACTAGATAGTAATGATTTTTAATTTAAATTATTTTCTTGGTGTTAAATCAATAATAAATCATTTACAAATATATACAAGGAAATATTAAACTTTTATTTCTTGTAACCCTACCACCTTTGATCTGTTAACAAAATTAAATGATTGCTTGAACAAAAAAAAATCGCTTGTCCTTTGTATTGATGTTATAACCAAAGATTAAAGTACAAATGGTATCAATTATCCAATATCAATCATTGAGATGGGGACGCCACCTAGTTGTGTATTTTAACCCAAATATGAGTGAAGGATGAGTGTAGAATGGTGTGAGATGATCACAGCTTTGTTACTGACTAAGATCAGCTGTTTTATTAGCCAGGTAAAACTTATCCTTAAATCAGACATGTTCAACCTTCTTCAATGCCTTCTAGGTTTATTAAGCATGTAACACGCCAAAACAGACTCCAGGTTTAACAATAGGATAAGATGTCTATTTTCAGATTCCCAAGTTAATGATTCTAGTTTACAACATGTGTTCTGAACAACCAATGTCAGCTTTATTGAGAATTAACTTTTCCTTTATCGTATAAAGTGGGTAACACACAGATGAAGGATTCTATTTATAGCTTTCACCCTAGAACTAACAGATGATTTAGATTGGAAATTATGTCAAAATAAGGCAAGCTTAGAGCGGGAAAACCGAACACAAGAAATATAGAAGCTAATAACTTTGTCCTCTTTTCCTGGTGGTCGTTTGGGTGTGAACGACCTAGACTGGCTGTCTAGTGAAGGTGGAAAGTACTGGTTCATCCATCATTTGTATAATAGGTGGAATTTTTAAAAGGTTAAATTTGAGCTAAATATATAGATTTTCATCATAAAACTCTCTCGATTTTATTTCTCCAATTGTTTTAATAACTTTACTTCTTTTAACCTAAATATTATAGAGTTTTGTCTTAAATTTAACATACTTTAACATTGCTGTTTATATATCAACCTCCCATTTATTATTTCCCACAATTTGAGTGATAATAGAAACAACTTGAAGAACTTGACAATAATGTTTTGAAATAAAACAAAACATTATTTATAAAGTTGTATAAAAATATGTTAAAGTTGACTTAATTACCTACTTGATTATCCTATATAAAAGGCAAGCATGTTTCTTGAAAACTTTTTTTATCTGCTTGTGTGCATCGTAGGGAAAATCTAAGTGCTTCTGTAGGATCAGTTGAAAATTATCTTATTTTCTATTCTGTCTTGGCTTTTAGCGAATTTCCCATAGGGAATAAGCTTAATGTAGGTCTCATGGTAAGACCTGGGCCAGGGACCGATTTACTTTTTCGTTTTGAGGTCCCCATCCCCAGAGGCCAAAAACATAATTTGTTCAAATTAATATATATGTGTGTCCGTTAGCACGTTAGCACACTCGAGCAAAAAATGTCCAATTTAAAATTCCCATGTTACTCTTATGGATAATAAACAAATTGTTGTAGTTTGCTTGTTTATGTAAATAGTTTGATTTAATTTGAAAAATTTGTTCATACTAATCATAAGCTATCAACATTTCTTAAAAAACACACACCATATTACCTTCCCTATAGCAGCAAACCTAAGAACGTTAAGAAATCATTAAAATTAATGTTATTTAAAAAGGAAATAAATCTGACTTTTTTAGTGGAATATTTTTGGTAAAATCCGACCAAGTAAATGGAAATCGCTTAGTCTGCAGGTTTGCTGTGGTGGGGGTATTTATTTTCACTGATGTTTAACCGATGTTAGAGCACAACATTCCTGTTAAATTAAACTATGTAATGTGTGTCCCTGTTACAGTCGGAGGGTGTTTGTGCATCGATAGCGCTTGCGTCAAGTGTCTATGTGAGTTTATTAACGAGGAGTCGAGTTGTAGCTACCTAGTTGGCTGCCACAATGATGTCTGTGGACCTTATGGAATCACCGAGCCATACTGGACGGACGCGGGTCGACCTAGATACGAGAATGGAAAATCAAAAAACAGTAGGTTACAAATGCTTAAACATCAATAATTTATGTCACTATACTATCTATTACCATTGACTTTTGGATGCTGAATTATATCAATAGTCAAAGCCATATTTTATCTACTGTATCATTTATGATGTAGGGAGAATGTTGACTTAATCTCGCAAGTGAGTCACGAGGTGTCTTTTTCTCATTTCCCCAGAGTCAAGGTAAAGCCAAAACCTGTATTAACTAACACATGATTGCATTTTTCTAATGTACAAAAAAGACAGCATAAAAGACAAAAAGCAACAGAATCAATGGAAAACTGATGCATCGTAAAACAACTCAAAATTTCTTAACTACGTTAGTAAAGAATCATATTCAATCTTAGTTTATCAGTGAGGACAAAAGGTTATCTAGATTAGAAGAGAAGTAAGGATAATGTATGAATTGAAATACTAAAATAATAATTTGGCGTTTTGGGTTTGTTATAGTGTCTCAGCTGTGCATTAGCTTTGTTATCGATTTAATTAGATTTTTTGGCTCTCCATGTTTAATTTTAGTCAATTTCAAAAAGAATACCTGTCCTTCGTACGGGGTTTGCATATAAGTACAAAATGATCATTGCAGTGATGGGAGAGGAGACGGTTTGAGAAAATTTGGTCTTTCAATTTATACGGTACGGTATCCTATAGTTGAGCACACATATACCATAGCCCTAATGCTCTACCACTACACTCTACCATTGAAAAAAGTAGGTCAAGTTTTCATTGTTTATCACAACTTTTTGTTGCTAGTTGGTTCAAATTAGGTGTTGTCATAAATGAAAAAAACATAATAGAGCTGCACCCTGTTGGTAAGCCTTATAACCTTTTAATGCTATGTAATATCATAGAACCAACTTGTGCAGTTGAAACGGCTGACAACATTCTTTAATTCCTTTAAATATTAACACTCATAAGGTTAACGTTAGAAACTCCAGAGCCACTGGGGCGGAGCCCCGAAGGATTTTTTAGGTAAGAATATGTCTAGGGCCTATATGTTAATCGGGAATGTCAGCTACCATCATACCAAACGTCAACCTTGTCGGTTTAGTATTTTTTTAGTTTACTTGTCACAAACATCCATCCATCCAAACTTTCTTACTTATTAAATTAGTAGGATAAGTAAACTGTTGTAAAATTGCTTGTTTATGGATATATTTTTTACAAACTTGGCAATTTTGTTATTTTACACAAAGCTAATAATATTTTTCTAAAAATCACACTTTGTTACTCTCCCTGTAGCAGCAAACCTAGGTACTCGTTAAACCTAATGTTATTGAATTAGATTTAATTGAAAATAAAGTCACACAAATGGAAATTTGCTTAGGCTGCAGGTTTGCTGCGGCGACGGTATTATGTAATTAAAATTACTTTAGAAAGAAAACTTTGTGGTAATACAAGATTAACTCTAATTTATATATATATATAATAAATAAATCAATCCCGTTGGTCACAATTAGTTGCGCCGGTCGCTTGTTACTTGAATGGCGCTACTGCAACCAGCACTACTATTCGTATTTGCTAGCAGCTACAGTATACCCGTACCTTGCAACGGGTCAGTATGCAAAAGAGACAATGTTGGTTCTCTGAAAATGACAAACGGTTTCACTCCTACCGTTTAATTTAGAAGCAAAATTTAACTCTATTACTTAACTTTATAATAGTACGTTTTTGTTAACTCATACTGTGAATACTTATTTGGCTACCAAGGATACAAAACAAATGATAGATTTTAAGGTACCTATAATAAAAGAATGTGTTTAATGGTTTGCACTGTAAACGAAAACCTATCACAATAGTTCCAAACCTGTTAATAGGGTAATTTTCTAACATATTTTAGTGAAATTATAATCTGGCAAATGGGAATTTGCTCAGTCGATAGGTTTGCTGCGGCAGGGGGATTATATTACTGTTTACAAACAAATAAATCAAAAGAATATACCTCATAACTCAGGATAAGGGCCTAGGTTGATAAGGCAATATAGAATCTTAATTATTTCCTATATCCATCGAATGATTTCTTTTACAATGAATTATAAAAATAAATAAATATTATTACAAAATTTCACAAATATTATAACAGACTCAGTATAGTTAGATCATAAACAAATGAAGTACTGTAACTAAAACAATCCTATACTAATGAAATTGCATTAACATATAGGTTGACAGTTGTTAAAATTGAATCAACTATTCTTTAATAACACTCACACAATAATAACTTTTATTTACTTTTTTTATCATAACAGAACAAAGATATATAACATATGATTTTATAAAACAGGTAATAAGTAAATTGGATGATGTTGTAACTCCAACACACCCTCTCAACATCATGCCTAGTAAAGTCCTAGGTAAAAGAGTGATCTTTTAAACACTTGCCCTAGAAGTGGCTTTGTTAAAAGGTCTGCTTGATTATTTTCACTTGGACAGTATTCCAGAAATACTTCGTTCTTACTTATCATTTCTCGGACGTAATGTTTTCGAATATCTAAATGTTTTATTCTAGCACTCATCTTTTCATTTTCAATAAACTTGATACAGCTCTGATTGTCTTCAAATATTACTGTAGGATTTTCTTGGGGGAAGCCCATATCTTTCAACAATAGTCTTAACCATACTACTTCTTGAGTGGCTAAGCTTGCGGCCATGAATTCAGCTTCTGTTGAAGAAAGAGTGACATTGGTCTGTTTTTTGCTAATCCAGTTTATAGTGCTGTTTCCTAACTTGTACATCATTCCGCTGATTGATTTTCTATCTGCTAAATCACCCCCCCAATCAGCATCTACATAGCATGACAATTTCAATTCTTTTTCCACCCCTAATTTTAATTTCTTGTCAATGGTACTTTTCAGATATCTTATTATTCGCTTTACAGCATTCCAATCACTTTGGGTGGGTTTTTCAACTCTTCTAGCTAGAATTCCAACAGCTGACAAAATATCCGGTCTTGATGTCACTGCAAGATAAAGAAGTGATCCTATTGCCTTCCTGTACATTTTGTTATCTGGCAGATCTGGTGACATAGCTGTTGAGTTGATAAATCCAACTTCCATTGGTGTTCTTGCTGGTTTACTGTTTTCCAGTCCATGTTCAATTATGACTTTATTTATTTTTCTTCTTTGGTGAATGTAAAAGTCTCCATCCATCTTATCAATTTCAACTCCTAAGTAGTTGTGAACAACTCCTAAGTCTTTCATTTCAAAGCATTGTGTCAGTTTTTGAAATGTTTTCTTGACATTTTCAATTGATCCAACACACAAAATGTCATCAACATGAACCACTACATATGTATAATTTCCATCAGTATTACTCGTATATAAACAAGGGTCAGAATTGCTTTTTTCAAATCCCATGCTCATCATTGTTGTATTCAGTGTTTCATTCCAGGCCCGAGCTGCTTGTTTTAGCCCATAAATTGATTTCTTCAATTTATAAACTTTATCTTCATTATCAGATTTCACAAAACCTTCGGCCTGTTGCATATATATTTCTTCTTCTAACTTTCCATTTAAAAAGGCTGTTTTTACATCAAAATGATGCACAGTCAGATCTTTTGTCGCTGCTATGGTTAGTAAAATTCTTACTGTTGTTGAATTAACAACAGGAGCAAATATTTCATCATAGTCTTCTCCATATTTCTGTGAGTAACCTTTGGCTACTAAACGTGCCTTATAGCGCTCAACCATACCGTCATCTCCATACTTTGCTTTAAATATCCATTTACATCCAACTGCTGTTTTCTGTGGAGGTAAATCTACAAGTTCCCATGTATCATTTTTTAATAAGGCTTCCATTTCTTCTTGAGCTGCTACAACCCATTGTTTTTTCTCAGGTTCAGACAATTTCTCCAATTGTTTCCAAGATTTTGGTTCAATCACATTTCCTTGAGCTATTAATGATAGTCTGTTAGGAGGAACACCTTTTGTTTTTCTTTCAGATTTTCTTACTTTCAAGTTAATATCATTGTTCTGATGATCATCTCCATTATTATCCCCATCAATCATATATGGCTCGTCATGTTCAATCTCTTCCATTTCATTTGACATATGTTCTTTAGTTTCATTTGTTGATGTTTGCCTATCATCAAGTACATTTTTCTCATCAGTACCTTTTGGTTGATCAACTTGAACACTTCTTTGATTTTCTTCGACCTTTTCATGTCTTTGGAGTAAACTGTCTACAGGCAATACCCTAAAGCTCGAATTAGTATGATTTGCATCGACATGTGGAAAGGAAGATGTGTCAAAAACTACATCTCGAGTTGTAATGATTTTCCTATCTTCGGGTAACCACATCCTCCAGCCCTTTGATACATCTGAGTAACCAACAAATATCCCTTCTTTTGCTCTTGATTGAAACTTGTCATTTGTCTTGTCTAGGATAAAACCTTTACAACCAAACTTTTTTAGATATGAAACATTTGGAATTTTCCTATACCATCTATGATATGGTAATACACCATCAATTGCATCTGATGGGCATCTATTCCTAACATGAGCTGCTGTTGCAACTGCTTCTGCCCAAAACGTTTGAGGAAGATTTGCTTCAATGAGCAAACATCTTGCCATGTCGTTTAATGTACAATTCATCCGTTCAGCCACTCCGTTTTGTTGAGGCGTTCCGCTACATGTTAATCTTCTCTGAATACCATTACAATTCAAAAATCCATCGAACTCTCTGTTAACATACTCTCCTCCATTGTCTGTTTGAAGATATTTAATTTTTCTTCCAGTAAAATTTTCTACTTTGTTCTTGTACTTTTTGAAAGAATCTAATGCATCACTTTTCTTCTTCAAAAAGTAAACTTCAACCCATCTTGAGCTATCATCAATAAAAGTAATGAAATATTGAGATTTTCCATGTGACTCAGTTTTCATTGGTCCACAGATGTCAGAGTGAATAATGTCCAACACTTCAGATGTTCTTTCACTTTTAGGAAAGGGTCTTTTTGTAAATTTTCCTTGAATACACACCTCACATTGTGGAATAAGCTCTTTTGTGTTCACTTTAATACCTTTAACCATATTTAAATTGATTATTCTTTTCAAGTCTCCAAAGTTCAAGTGTCCAAAATGTTGGTGCCAAGACAATAGACTTGATTTTTCACAGCTTATATTCATTTCTTCACTACTCTCTTGTACGTAATAAAGTCCATTTAACCTATTCGCATGGATCTTTGTCTGTCCATTCTGATCTATTATCAAAGCAGCATCTTTTTTAAACAAAACTTGATACCCATGGTCAGTAATTTTAGCTACAGACATCAGGTTTGTTCGAAGTTCTGGTACATACAAAGTGTCATACAAATTAACGCTTAGATTAGTACTCCCATTTAAAATGTTCATATTAACTGTTCCAACCCCTCTTGCATCAGTTGATGAATTGTTGGCAAGAGATATACTTCTTCCATTTGCAGGCTTGTACTTTACTGTTCACATGAGTCATATGTGAAGTGCATCCACTGTCCAAACACCACTGTATATCTTTCATTGACAAGTTTCCAAAATAACTGTCATCTTGTACAGAAGAATTAAGTCCTAGTTCTTCTAGTTTAGCAATTGCTACGTTTTGTTGATCTTTATTTGCTTTGGGACAAAATTTTGCTTTATGCCCGATCGCTTTACAAATAAAGCATCGAAACGGAAAATCAACTGATTCCGTTCTATTTCTATAAGAGTCTTTTGAAAATCTTCCTGGTTGAAATGTAACTTTGTTCTGAAATTTTCCTAGCAGAGCTTCACTACTCTCTTTCTTACCATGTTTTTTTCTCGCTTCCCACTCTTCTACAATTTTTATTTTTAGAGTTTCAGGAGAAGGCAGTGCATCTCTAGTTTCAATAGCAATTCTAAAGTTTTCAAATTCATCTGACAGGGAATACAAAAGAATAATTGTCAAAAGATCCTCATTAATATCGATTTCCATTCCTTTTAATTTGTCCACTACATCAAAAAACATATTCATGTAATCTCTGACATCATAATCAGGTGTCAGTTTTGCCAAAATTAGCTTCTTCAACAAAAAGGCTTTCCTTGCTGGTCCACTGGAATCATAAATGCCTTTTAATTTTTCCCATATCTCTGCTGAAGTGTTACATCCTTTCACTTGCTTTAATTCGCTTGGGCTGATAGAGAGGATTATATCTGCCTTTGCCTTTGCATCAGTGATTAGCCAAGCAGTCATTCTTTCACCTTCTTCTAGAGGCCTTTTAATGGTTCCTAACACATACCCAAGTAAATCATTTTTAACTAAAATTGCTTCCATCTGCATTTTCCATGTGTCATAATTATTTCTGTTCAAAAGTTCAATGTGATTACTCATATTTCTTTCCATATTCCTCACTTAATTGAGTCTCATAATCTGTTAAAATTGAATTAACTATTCTTTAATAACACTCACACAATAATAACTTTTATTTACTTTTTTATCATAACAGAACAAAGATATATAACATATGATTTTATAAAACAGGTAATAAGTAAATTGGATGATGTTGTAACTCCAACAACAGTTCCTTTAGGTAATGTTTAATAATGTTTACATTCGGGCTAGTGACATCATTATTTTAAATTTATAATCCTTACCCTCTCTGTTCTAATATTTGTGCAGTATTTAATAAGGTTTGAACCAGCTGTGTTGAATTGTGAAATCAAAATTAATTTGACAGTTAGTTCTTCTGCTTGTTTACATTTATAAACTTAGTAGGTTTGTTCTTTGTTACCATGGATACAATCAATCAATATTTACTTTTAAATCTCTCACCTCAGATTTTTGAAAGCCTACGGGGCAAAGCCCTAGGTCAATATCGAAACGTAATAGTTCTATATGTATCCTCGGAGTTGTAGCTTCATTTGTGTGCAATTTGAGCATAGTCGGTTCAGTAGTTTTTGAGATTAGCTCATACAAACACACACACAGACACCACCTCTTCTTTATAATAGTATATAATATAATATAATATATATATACAGTATAGATTTCTATCTATACTATTATAAAATTGAGGTGGTGTCTGTCTGTCTGGGCAGCTGTCACGACTAAAATACTAAACCAATAAAGCCGAAATTAAGAACAAAGATGAGACATATTTAGGAATGTCTTAGGCCTATTCACTTCCCTGAGTTCCTCTCGGGCTACGCCCCTTGATGTCCAAAGTTTTGAGGTGAGGTGAGGTTTTCGAAAGTAAATATTAATATTGGTCTCCATGGACGCATGAGAAAATTCACAATGTTTTCCTTTGCGCTGACATTTCAATGTAACTAGCAGAACTGCCAAATTGCTTATGTCATAATTTATTTCAGACAGCTAATCCAAAGAAATTAAATATAATATTTTACACAACTATGTGGCAGGTTTATTTATTCCAAAATTATAATATCATTGATTATGGAAAAAAAGATTCTATAACCGTTTCTGTATTAACCCAGGCTCTGCTTTTGATTTATTAAGGTGATATATTTTCATGTAGACAGTAGGACAATTATAATGTAGGTATCTTTTTTTAAAAATTTACTGGCTTTTTGTTTATAAATTCAAACTACTTAACAAGTGTTTGGGTTAGGTGGTATAGTACATCTTCCCGTTGCGAAGCACGGGTACAGCAGCTAGTTAATCCTTAAAACCAATTATGCATTTTGGAACACCCTGTAAGATATGTGTTTTATACTTCTTATTTTTAATTTATGATTGTACCATTGCTTCCTATTACATTTTCTTGATTTAAGAGTGTTTTTTTACACCACAGAATACATTTTACAAAAATCTTTATTTATTTTACAGAATACAAGGAATGTACAAATAGTGCTTCTTGTGCTGAGCTAACAATAAAAAACTACATGGATAAATACGCTCAGGTAAGTGGTCGATTAGTCTTATGAGAAATAGATTGATAAATATTCCCAGGTTAGTAGGCAACAAATACTCCTGTGATTTCGATCACCCCCGTGGAGAGAGTCGATTAAGTTATTTGCGAGGTTAGAAAACCGAAGAGCAGATAATCAAGACTCTATATTGTACCCACCATTGATTATGAACATTAAATGTTCAATTTATTTAGGTAGACGAGCATTAGAACCCTTCCCCCTCAACCATTGTTTGTAAAACTTTTTACAGTCATCTAAAAATTGCTATTAGGTCTAATTTAATATAAGTATTTGGAGTAAGTAAAGAATGGTAACAGTAGTTACTATCTCTCTTGCACTACCCTCTATATACACCATCCTATTCACCCTGTTGCGAGAGAGTGCCTGGAGCTCGGCTCAGCCCTACCTATGAGTAATCCACTCACGCACTCACACTCTCAATGGTTCGCCCATTCCCTTGCGTGTGTGTGTGTGTGAAAACTGCAAGTGTGTGAGTTGGGCCATGCCTTTGGACAGCTCTGAGCAAACAGGGTATAGCTAACGCTCCTCTTTACACTTCACAGTTTTCACCATCTGGTAAAAACTGTATAATTTTACGTTGTGCCTATGTTTTGTCCACACTACGTAATTTCTAACCGTAAGATGAGATAAATTTGTCGCCAATTTTTAATTCTCCAACAAGCAATGGATCCGTTGTTATAAACTTTTGGCATTAAGGCAATTTTATCAACGTCGTAAAAGCAATACCAGGGATCGTCTTCAATGGATGCATCATGAACAAGAGAATTTCAACAGTCAAAAGTAAATCAAAGTAAATGTAAATAGGACAAACATCAAAATTAAATTTACTTTTTGTTGTCATGAAGAGACCAACCATTAATCAATACTAGAGGTCGTCCAGTGGTCGAAAACTCAACCAAAATGAAAATATGTAATGTACAGGATTCTCTATTTCTATTTTCACCCCACCATGTAAATAAAACATATGATTGGAATTTCTTCCATTTGTTTTGATTTTTTGTTGTTATTTTGTCACCAGCATGGCAACCCATAAGGCCAATGTTATTTTTTTAGCGAATTTCCCATATGGGGAAGAAGCTATTACTGTAGGTCTCATGGTAAGACTTGGACCGATTTACTTTTTCATTTTGATGTCCCTAGAAGCCAAAAACATCATCCGTTATAATTCATATATATATGTGTCCGTTGGCACAATAACTCGAGCAAAAATGATCCGATTTTCATGAAATTTGGTACAAACGTGTAAACCTACGTTTATTTGAACGAGTTCGCGAACCAGCCATCGGACCATGGGAACGGGGTTTTATGGGGGGTATTTATGGGGTAAAAGGTGGTTTTACTCGTTTTTAGCCCTCAAAAAATAAAATTTCCCAAATTTTCTATAGACCATTTTGAAGAGAGCTTAAAAAACCAAATAATTTAGTATATTGAAGTGTTTTTGTATGGTAATTGGTTATGGAGAAATTGTAAATTTAAAATTACCATGTTATTCTTATGGAGAATAAGTAAATGGTTGTAGTTTGTTTGTTTATGGATATATTAGGATCAAATTTGGCAAATTTTTATTTTTCTATGAGTATCTCATGATCCACACAGTCAAAAGCCTTGGATAGGTCACATAGCACACCCACAGTCTTCTGCGATCCATCCAAGGCTTCCGCAATGCAATTAATCATGTTTGTTATGGATTTTTCAGTACAGAGTCTGGAGGGAAACCAAACTGTGAAGGATTTATTAAATTATTGCTTTCTAAATATTCTGTTAGTTGAATCCTTACAATTTTTTCAATGTTTCAATGTTTTATGTTTTAGGATTGTAATGATGACGGAAGAATAGACTGCTACGACTACGCAGCAATCCATGCAAATGGACCTGCTGGATGCAAAGGGTCCCTGAGAAGAGGATCAATAAAGGTTCTTAGAAAGTGTCTAGACAGATCAAACTCTTCGCCTGAGGAGCCTGAAGATGAAGAAGACCCCAAAGAAGATGCTGAAACATTTGTCCCTTCGTAATCTAAATAAAGTGAAAACCGAAAGTGGAAGAGGGAAGATACTGCCACAAAAAGAGCTGCCTTGGACATATATCACTAGTGATGGTATACAAAATTAACCAAAATTATGATTTATTCAATCCATTTAGTATATTTAATGGTTTTGTATCAGATATAGTCTGTTATTCTTTTGATACACGTTTTCTTATTGTTATAACAATAAAAACTTAAGGCAAAATTGTACACTGTTAGAATAAAATAAGTTAGTATAGTGTGTAGTATTTATTTATGTAAGACTAGCTGTGTGCCCGTTCTACGCACGGGGATCTTAAGTACCGTAGTCAGTTTAAACCTTCTTATATTAAGAACAGCAGTTGGTTTGCATATTTTCAGATATGCTGGCAAAACTATTATATATAAACCTTCCCAAATATAGTATCTGACATTTTTAAGCCAAAAAAAATGCTTCGCAATTAAATATCACCCGGATCGTGTTGGTCCATATTATAGCATTCATTTCTGTTGTTTAGAGTCAACACTTTCGATATACATACCATGAATACAATTGTATATACCATTATATACAATTGATGTATACAATTTTCATTTTTAAAGTTTCAAAGACCTAAAATACATGCTAGAGCATCGACTGACCTTTTTTTTGAGTTATGGACTTTATTTATTTAATTTAAGAAATGCTGTTACAAGAGTTTTGACTTGTGAGTTTTTTACTCTAAATCACAGTACTGTACAGGTTTGCAGTAATAACTGGTTGTGATATAGTTTTCTAAGCTTTTTCCTTGTATTTGTGGATTTGGTTTCAGTTACAGTACTTGTATGTTTTCATCTAACTTTTATTATTAAAGCCAAACAGTATATGTTAAAATGTATATGTTTAAGTAAATGAGTCTTCAAATTGTCTAATTTGATTAAAACCTTCTTCCTTCATGTTTGATTGACTATTTCTTTCCAAAATAAATAATAAGTGAAGAAATAGATAGATGTACACACAAACACAAATTCAACAACAAATTAAAACTACAAATAAATTCAACAAAACTAAAATATTGTTGTAACAAAATATTTTTTCTGCTTTATCTACTAGTGATTTGGTGGTCCAATCGGTAGTGCGGCGGACTTTGAGCCCAAGGCAGCAACATCGTGGGTTTAGAACATGGTACTTGTCACTAATTTACATCAGTATAGTTCACCCTTGTACTGTACGTACCGGCTCACCCCTTGCTTTGCTGGATACGCAGGCCTGAGGCCTATGTGGACGGACAAATGCAAGGCTTAAAGAAGCTACAAACCTCTTAAAAAAATAATATTTCTGTAATAGATACAATATAGATGAACAAAATTGTTTGAAGATATTGAACATAACTTTATTTGGTAACTGTTTATAAAATTAGCTACACAGGTTTTACCATCTGCCAAAATACAAGGCATGAATCAGCATATATTTAAGGTAAACTGCTAAATATTTCAGCACCTAAGTGGCTTCTTATTCTTTATAAATAAACGTAGAAAGATTTAACACCATGATTATGTCCTTACTGTAGTAACTGACATTTTGGTAATATTGACTGTCTTAACGGTGATATCCTGCATACCTTCTTCCAATGCTTGAGTTGGGAAACAGTCAGAATAAGGGACTTCGAAACGGTCGTTGGCCTGATTTTGCCGGACACACTCATTCATTTGATTTTGTCCAGTCCCAAATCGCGAAACCCTGTTTCTGCATTCTCATGGAGAGTGCTAAAGAAAATGGAACAGCTGTGCAGCTGAACCTGGTAGAACATCGTGCCTGGAATGCCATCTCTGGTATACGAGGGCACCCTCATGACGTATTGTAAGCAGCTTTTCCGAGGGGATTTCTATTTCCTGGACCGATGGGTTTATAGTGGGTGAGAGTCCTACACACTATGGTAAATACACTTTAGTAGACCATGAAGGTGCATAAATCATTACCCTGTTGCAAAACAAATGTATTGAATGTTTTATTTTGCTAAAAAGATGCTCTATGGAAGAAGTATAAAAAAAATATCATATGTATATAGTCATATGTCCAACAATATGCCTTATTCATTTGAAGATCTTTATGAAAGAACACATAGCTACAATCCTGACCATTTATTTTAAAACAGCAGTCTCTCAATCATTGTTCATTTGAATGCCAATGCAAAGACAATTCAGATTTTTATCATGCTATTTCAGACTTCTTCCATAGGACTTTCTCTCAAAGAAGAATTACGGGTTAACCTGTTAAAAGAATTACCAAAACCTATTATTTTTGTATTGATCAATATGATATCGGTAGTTCACGATTGGAATTTGATAGGGATGGGGTTAATTTATAATCAGTGTAGGGTGAGAAAAGGTGCAATGGTTTGTCATTCAAGATTTGGAAAGATTCCATAATTTTCTCTGGGGCAGCAATTTACTATGTGTCGCTGCTTAACTTTATAAAATAATGTTTTTAATAAGTCATTCCATCAGTGGTAAAAGGTTTGTGTATTCGACAGAAATCAGTCATTTATATCAGCGAAATCTGTTGGTGGCTAACATAAACTTCAACAAATTAAGATTGAAAAACTGGGGACAAATTAACATGGTGATGGAGTTTCTATAATCAAAGGTTTGACCTATCATAAATAGTAAAGAATATACGATAATAGTTTTATCAGATACATGCTTATCAATGTTGCTATTGTAGCTGCCAAACACTCTTATCATTGGTCAGTCATCAGTGGCCACTGGTCAGTAACAGACATAAGATGGCCAAGACAACACTGCTCAACATCATTTCTCTTCTTGTTCTTGGTGAGTTTCTGAAATTGATCGGAATTAGACATAGATTCTGCACTATCAATTCAAGGAATTTGCATTGTAAATTAGAGGTTACATAAAGTTTTTTTTTTTATTTTTCTAAACAGGTCATGGTTTTTTAATGGATAAGCCAGCGGCCTCCAATTTTTGCCATAAAAATCTATATTTTAAACTGCAAGTCTTAAATCTTGTCTGAACAAAAAACATATTACTGCCATATTAATGAATATGGCTTCTAATCTTTTGGCTTTAAGGTATCCTGGTTGAATAATCTTTCAAGTTTGTCTCAATAAACAATCATTTTCCATGTTAGCATCTCTAAGAGCTCCAAGCCTGCCTTCCTAAATGATTCAATTGAGGTGAATAAAATTGAAATACAGTTTTATGTTGATTTATTTCTCATCAACGTTATAATTAGTGGATCTAATTTGGGATTTTATCAATATCAGCCAATTTCCCTATAGGGAAGCTATTGCCATTGCCGTAGGTCTCATGGTAAGACTTGAGCCCAGGACCGATTTCTTTTTCATTTTTATGTCCCCAGAGGCCAAAACACTATTGGTTAAAATTTAATCTATTATATGAATGTGTGTGCCTGTAAACGCGATAACTTGAGTAATTTTTTTTTTTAATTTTGATGAAATTTGGTTTGAAGGTGTAAGGCAGAATAAACTTGAACGAATTCGTGAACCAGCATAATCGGATGATGGGAACTGGGTTTTACAGGGTAAAAATAGTTTTTTCTCACTTTTTGACCATTAAAACACAAAATTTCCTAATTTCTCTCTAAACCGTTTTGAAGAACTTGAAAAACGATTAAGTATATTGAAGTGTTTTAATACGGTTATTGATTATGGAGAAAATTCAAAAAAATTGTAAATTTAAAATTCCCATGTTATTCCTATAGAGAACATGTTGTAGTTTGCTTGATTATGGATATATTTTGATCAAACTTGGCAAAGTTATTTATTTTATACTAAGCTATTAAAATTTTACAAAAAAACCACACTTTGTTAGCCTCCCTGTAATAGCATACCTCGGTACCTACTCGTTTAACCTAATGTTATTTAAATAGATTTAATTTTATATCAATTCAGGCAAATGGAAATTCGCTTAGTCTGCAGGTTTTCTGCGGCAGGGGTATTTTTATATAATAAACACAAACACTTTATGGTATATTACATTTCACACAATATTTTCTCAGGTGATTATTCTTTTTTGAATATGCTTCTTTGTATATGACAGCTTTTTTTATTTAATTGTAATTTAAATCCATCACAATATACACTTTTGCTCCTTGTAGTGGCAAACCCAAGTTTGTAATTAACCAAATATATTGGACATAGATTAAAGAGTACATTAAATTGAACTCTTCATTCTAACAACAAAAATACAGGAAAAATCCCAAAGAAATAAAACTTCAAGTGATAACAAACAGAACTAAGTGTTTAGCCAGTAAGTTTACTGTGACAGGGTGGGATTAAAAAATATATAAACACAATTTTTAAAGCCCTTCTTTTCTGTTAATGTCTATTCCTGTGGCATTTTTCAGGTTATAGAGTAGATAAACAATCGCTTATTTTTGGAAAGCTATCCAAACTTATATGATTTGTAGGTGTGTAGGGAATCGAACACATCCCTCTATCGCAACAAAATCTGAGACGCTAACCACAAAGCTTGCAACACACTCACATCTTCAATTCAGAGACCCAATATTCAAATACGCTTGCAATAGATTTGTTGAGGAAATTGAGAAAATATTGCTGAGATCAAAGATTATCTCTTATCAATAAAGATTATTCTATCAGCCTGTATTTTAGGATTAAATATTTAGGATTAAACTTTTTTTTTATTTATAAAAATGCTTTTAATTTTTTTAGGACGCTAGGCACGAGCCCGAGATTGTTTTTCACATTACTTTAGTCTAGACCTGGGGGCTGCAGCATTATAAAATCCATTTGTGATTTGGCGGGATTGGAACCCTGGACAAAAATGAAAAATGTTAATAAAAAAAAATTTGCGAAATATTTACTAAAATACGCTATAAAACAAGTCTATCTTGACCGGCCGCTACAGAATAATTTGGAAGAGGTACAGCCAACTGTTAAAAGTTGAATACAAAAATTTCTAAAAAATTTTAAAAAATGTAAAAAAATTCAAAAAATCAAAAAATAATATTTTTTGGTTTCGGATTAAGCGGATTTTTGGATTATCGGGACTCCACTGTATAAATTAATGTGGTATATTTCCACATTAATTTATACTTACAACTAGAACAGTAATTTTTTCATAGAAAAATGATAGAAAAAAGATATCCTTAGTTTTGTTTCTTACCATACAATATTTTTGTAACACTAACCATTACTTTCTTCCACACCCACAGAGTCCTGCTCCAAGGCGTCTACTCCACTCACTCCTCTGATAATAAGCCCCTATCAAACCAGTCAAGAGCTACTTACTTTTCTCAGAAGGACTTTAGGACACATCATACAAAGTAAAACACCATTTTGTGCTGGATTGATTCAGTAATAAAACTTTCTGACAAATATTGTTTCCGAGGTAGTTACAGGATGCAGAGCTATTGATGACACCTGCATCGCGTGTCTGTGTGAGTTCATCAGCTATGGGACCGAGTGTAACTTCATGGTCGGTTGTCAAAACGGTGTGTGTGGACCGTACGGAATCACCATGCCATTCTGGATTGATGCTGGATCTCCTACAATCAATGGAGCAGTTCCTTCATCTTCAGGTAGATTATTTTTGCTCACAATTTAGCACGGATAGCAATAAAGCAGGGACGCCTACGGCTTTTATCAATGGGAACGCAAAACATTTTTCCAAGGGTTGGGGGAAAGGATTCCCTGCAATGAATTTTAATGTAACATATAACACACTAAAAAATCTATACTTTTGTCCTGTTCAAAAACCTAATTTATCTTTTAAAAGGTTTGTGATGTACTATTTGTTTCTACAATCTTAATGACGAGTTTAAACAAATCAAAACAATGCACAAAGGTATAGTAAAAAAATGATTACAAGCATTGATTCTAGCAAAATTTCATTCACTTCAAAGTATGTTTATGCAATTTATGCATTGCAGAACATTATATAAATTTATTTCTACTGTTTACAAAATTATCATTGTTCCTATAGTTTTAATTTTGTTATAGAATACCAGCAGTGTGCAGTGGATGTGAAATGTGCAGAAACCACAATTCGTAACTACATGACTAGATACAGCCAGGTAAGTGACCAAGTGACTGTTTTTATATGAGCCTACTTCTAGCATTACTATTTACTAGCCTACTATTGTCCGTTCACAAAATTAAGGTTTGAGGGTAAGTTCCCCCACCACTTTTTTGCTTAATGTATGATGCAGACATAAGACAGGAAAAAATCAGAGGAAAAACTAAAAATTTATTTTCTTTATTTGTGTTTTGTTATACAAGTATACATAAAATAAACACAATGGAACACTTCATACTGTCAAAATAATTTTTTACTCGTTTTTTACTATGCGGATATATCCGCTACCCGTCCGCAGATGAGTATAAATGCAGCGGATATATCCGCCACCCGTCTTTGAAGATATGACCATGACAATGTTAGGCAATAAATAAAGAACAATATGTAAACAATAAATAAAGACAACGTAATGTTGAGCGCAAATCGTCGAGAGGGGAGTGTAGGGGTGGTGTTAGGTGCACGGGAGGGGAGGAGGCACAGAAGAGGGGTTGGCGCGGGAGAGAGGGGGGAGTGCGGGGGTGAGCGCAGCCATGGAGAGAGCAGGAAAGTGCCACCTCTGGTTACTGCTCAAGCATCTGCCAGTCTGTCTGAAGAGAAGGCGGATATAACCGCTTCCCGTCCGGAACATCAAAAACCATAAGTGGATATATCTGTCATCACTCGTCCTTTATCGCCAAAGACTTAGGTGGATACATCCGTCACCCGTCCGCGAAGGATTAAAAGTAGGTAAGAGGGGATATATTACTTCTCCTAAAACCATGCACCTAGATTTTGTGTACGGATTATAATTTTGCCACAACAGCTAGGCCTTAGTGACGGGCAGTCAGAAGCTAGATAGGCAATAGGCATCGTCTTATAACAATGAGTAATTTAATACTATGCTGATCATAACATAATACAACTTTTTTTTTAGTTCTAAGCTCCTCTCCAATATTGACTATTTGTCACTATTGTCTCACATATTACTATACTTTGTTCAAAATATTTAGGCGGTTTTAAGGGAAGAAACCTATCCTCTCTACTATATCCTTACATTTAACGCTCAACAGCTGATTAATCAGCATACATTAAGTACAAAAAATGTTGTGGAGGAACTTCCCCTCAAACTGTCTAAATATTGTGAACCGAGTATAGACGACTCGTTTCACTTGTAGCTTTTACTAAGTAGGGAAGCAGACATACCATTTCTCATGTTGAAGTTGTGTTTTAAAAATTATTGTACTGAGCCAACGTCAGAGTATGCTTTTGTCAATTACTACTACTCTAAAATCACTACTTACTTATTTTAAACTAAAGCATCTTTTATGTCCTACTAAATATTTCATAAACTAAGAGAGAAAATAGAATTTTGACAGTGACACACTCGGTGAGCAGTTCATTCGACTATTTCTGTTTTAAGTTCAAGATTGGCTACAGCTCGTAAGAAATTACAGGTACCTAAAGAGCCTGGAAAGTATCTTTTAAGTACAGACAGGGGTGACTAAAAATGTTTGTCTAGACGTACCTACTATACTTTAATACTTATAGTGTACAAATTCAAAATGTGTACATTGAATGGCGTCAACTAAGGACTCTAGTACCTAAAAAGAACAAAGTTGCTTTTGAAAGTATGGAGATTAAACAAAAAAAGCAATCTGTTTTCTACAAATAGAATAATTTAAGTACAATGGGTGGGGTAAAGAATTTATTAAAAGAATAGATGGATTTTTATATTGATTAATTTTGTATTTTTCTTCATTTTTAAAGTGATAAGATAAGTTATTTAAGAATTTTAGTCCTATACGATTACAAGTACATGACACTCGATTTTACGAACTCGATCGTCTGAAGAGAGGATAACTCCGAAGATCAGACAATTACAAAAATTAAATAATTAACAAAAAATAACTACTGTATGAATGTTTGACTGTTGAACTAGTATTCCATTCCCAAGTCAGTTTGAGAAGTCAAAATGAGTCTCCGACATAGTATGCTGCTTTCAATTGAATACCTTACCATCTTTTATATTATTTTTACTACCACAGTATAAACAACTGAGAAAATATAAACTTTCGACAGTAGCTCTATTAGCTCCGATCACTGTCTGATGGGATTATTTAACTAGGTTGTAACTAGGTTGTATTCGTTGAACAACATTTACTGTAACTATATATTTCCCAATAAATTGTCCTATAAAGATGATCGGTCGATTCCAAAACTCCTTCCTGCCTCACCTATCCTAAATCTCTGCGTTTATACATACAAAACCAGTCCGTGACAGTCCGATCCGTGAGTTGGAATGTCTATTGTACCTAGAAGTCATTGGTGTATCCATATAGCCTCTGCACATTTTTACATCTTATCACTAATCAGCTGATTCTAGCCTTATCACCTGGTTTAACAATTGGACCATATTTTGAACATGTTGTAGGATTGTAATGGTGATGGAAAAGTTGACTGCCTTGACATTGCGGCTATCCACGCTAATGGACCGTTTGGCTGCAGAAATCCGTTGAGAGTCGGATCAACAACTGCACTCCAAAACTGTCTGGATCGATCCAACAGTATAACTGATGGTGATAGCAGGGATGCTGAAATGATCGATGTGCGACTTTCAAAATACCAAGATTATTGATGAGCTTGTTGAGTTAAGTTGTACTCACATGTTATGTTCGGAGGAACAATTTGCTGAACAAATGGCAAAGACAAAGTGAGATTAGAATTTTTGAAAAAAGATTGTTGTTTTAAAAAAGGAAAACATTCTTATTGAATTATTCTTGACAAATTGTAACCTTACCCGTTTTTATGTAACAAGTAAGAGATCTAAATTCCCATCCAATCAATTTTTTTAGAACACATTAAATTATATCCCTATACCCTGTAATACATGTTAAGTTTATACACTGTATAATGAATTAATATGTAAATTTGTCCATAAAAAATATGGGTATTATGGGTAATGTTGGTTGGAAGCATAATAATCATATTCATAGATGTCATAGGTCGATGTAAAGTAAATAATAGTCATGTATATTTATAGCTTAGCTGGACATTTGAATCGTGGTTTGTGTAAAATGGGTGAAATTTTCTGTGCAGCTTTTTTTATTGTTACTGATGGAGATCAGCTGTTTTTAGCCACAAGCATTTGTTAAAATCATTGACTTAATAGTCAAAGTTAAAACCCAACGGCCAAAGATAGCTGGCCCCAGTTGTGAACCATCAAAAAGCTAGGTACTGAATTTTCTTACAATCACACCATTGCATGGTATATACGAGGCATGTTTTTAAGTAAGTACCGTTTTTAAATTTCTCTGTTCCAGTGCTGCGATTGGCAAGCCTGCACCGGAAATTCGGCAACAATCGGCCGTATTTACATCCGGTTTTGAGCATTCAAAATGGTGCCACCAATTGAAACTGCCACCGACTGTGAAGTGCGCACTGTAATTAGATTTTTAAGTGCTAAAGGTGTGAAAGCCACTAAAATTCATCCAAAAAACTAGTAAAATATGGCGAGAATATTACGAGTGACGGAATGGTACGCAAGTATGTGTAAGGGCATTTAAAGATGGCCGCACCAACGTTCATGATGAGCGGCCATCTGTGATTACTGATGAATTGATGCTTAAATTTGATGAAAAAGTGAGAGAGAACAGTAGATTATCGACGATCGATCAACGATTTAGGATCTCATCATTATTTGAGAAGTTTCCTTTACTCATATTGTTCTTGCCATACACTTCACTAATCTGACAATGAATTTCAATGGTTTTCACACATTTAGCACTTAAAAATCTAATTCCAGTGCACACTTCACAGTAGGTGGCAGTTTCAATTGGTGGCACCATTTTGAATCCTCGAAACCGAATGTAAACACGGCAGATTGTTGCCAAATTTCCAGCGCAGGCTTGCCAATAGATGCACATACACAGAACAAATGTCCAAAATGCCAATCACAGCGCTGGATTGGAGAAATTTATAAACGGTTCTTACTTAAAAAAACATGCCTCGTATTACAACTATACTATATTCTATAATGTTAATCACATAAGAATAATTGAGCGCTTTTCAAAAGTAATAAATATTTATTTGGTTTCACCTTTGACTATTGATACAACTTCAGCCTACCCATAGATACCTATACTGTAAGTTAAATGTAGTAAATATTGTATAAGTATGAAACCGTTATATGTTTTGGAAAACCTTGTATATATAGTGTGTTCTTCAAATTTTGGACTTTTGTCACTTTATGAATGATAAAAGAATATGTATTATTTATAATCTGATGTCTATTCAACTTTTGATAGACTATTTTGTAATATATATATTTTTTAACAGCCCTTTTTTTATTATTAATTACTGATTGTTATTAGTCAAGTATTTTTTAAGCTATATAAATATTTTTTGTATCTTCACAGATCAATGAGTTTTAATAAAAAAAATTTGGAAATTTATAACTAAAAAATTATGAGTAATTGTATACTGTTTGTGTGTTTGTTAGAGTAACGGTAGTTTTCTAGAAAATAATAAAAACATTCTTATTTTTACTTAACTTTTTGCCTTTGAAACCTGTCCTTGATTGTTTTTTAAATAGATCAAACTCAGAAACACCGTTATCACAGGAAACCAGCGGCATTTGTTTTGTGTTCAATGTAAACATATAGTCGAGGCTAAAACGCCATCGCCCCCAATGTGGGCACCAGTCAAACAAGTCTGAACCACATAACGAGGAAGATATGTGGTCAAACCTCTGGTCAAGAACTTGTTTACCTCATTTTAGCGAATTTCCCTATAGGAAAGTAGCTATTACTGTAGGTGGTACGGCAAGACCTGGGTCAGGGTCAGATTTTCTTCTTCATTTTGTTGTCCCCAGAGACTTAACACTATTCGTTCAAATTCTTATGTATGTATACATATATAATATAGAGATATTTATATATATGACCGTAAATACGATAACTCAAGTAATTTTGCTTCGATTTTGATTAAATTTGGTCTGAAGGTGTAGGGGAGGATAAACTTGGACGAGTTCGCATTCCAGCCGAGTTTGGTTTTCCTACTGCAATGCGTTAAAAAGTGAACTGGGGGGTTCCAGACTTTTGCCTAAGCCTGTATATGCATTATTATTGTGCTTTTAACCTGTATCTATAAATTGCTTTTATTAAATGTTTATTGCAAAAGAGAGTAACGGAGATGTTGAAATATTCAATAACAATGCTAAGTTTTGTTTGACATAGTCTCATCTGCGAGAACATAATTTATAATTTGTAAACAGAAAAACTTATTATTTTTTATTTTGTTTTATTTAAAAATATCTGAGTGAAATATATAAGCAGTTAAATAATTAATTGATGATGATAATTATTATTTTAATTAGATGAGTTTAATATTGTATTTTATGTAAATTTTACAATTGATCTTTTTAACAGTTTTACACTAATTTATTCCTATTGCTTAGTAGATTACACTATTGTACATTAGTAATATTTTTAGATTTTCAAAAATGTTTACAAATTTCATTAACAAACGAAAGTAAACTCTACATTCTGCAAAATTGTCTACTATAAACATATTTTCCTAATAAAACATAATTTGTAGTTCAACAGTGGAGGAAAATATACGTATTTCCCAAAATTATATTGGGAAACCCAAACTCAATCACTCGTTTCCTCAATCTCTTTGAGGGAAAATAATCTCAAAAAACTCTTTTGCAGTGTAAGTACAACTTTTAACATGTCAAGGTTAAAGATAAGGAAACCTCAACACATCTGTGTTGGCCACTGCCCAAGATGGACGGGCTTGGTAGGTTGGGCTTCTCTTTTGTGTTATTCTTCTTTAGCCATTTTGTCCACTCACAAAGACATTTCGTACCTGAAGCAACTGTGGAGATTTTGAATCCAAGGGGCTTGAGAATTTCTTTACCAGGTAAATATTCAAAAGTACTTAATCAAATTGACTTACATGTTATTGAGACAATAGCACACTGTGTGTATTTTAACCTGAATATGAATAAAGGCTGAGCAATATATGCCTGTGAAGCTGTTTTTTAGCTCGAAAATTTCAGATAGTTTCAGTTCTTGTCATGAGTTCAAAATATTTGCAGAGGAACATACCAACTTGTACCATATCACTCTGAGTTATGTTTACATTTTTTCAATAAATGTTTGTAAGGTTAGAAACTGTTCAATGTTTATTATAGACTTTAATTGACTGTTAAAATCAGTGATTGATTAGAGTTAGGCGAGGTATTGTAATTTAAGGAACCCGATTTTTGTAAAATATAACAGTCAGTACACATGCAAAATTAATACTTCATACTGTGTAAGTTGAACAGATCATTTTTCAGTATGCATTAATCAAACTTTCAACATCTGATCAAACTATTACAAATTGTTAGAACCCCCTTCAGCTATACTTGCCCTGTATTGTAGGCAAGACAGACGGTATGGTCGCCATTTCAGGTAAAGTATTAATAGTAGTTTACGCAATGATCGCTTAAAGATAGTATTAACGACACAAGTAGGAATGAAAATTTAAGGTACGAGACATTTGGCGAGTGCCAACACTAAATGTACCAAACATTATTTGCACCACTCACTAAGAATTAAATTGGTTTGAACAGCTGGTTGGTGGACGTTCGAAACATTTACTTATTATTTACTACAATTTTACTTGTTCTCAATCCTTGAACCTCATTGGTCATTGGTGTACCTTAAGTAAAACAACAATTCTGTAAAGTGAATCTTTTCAATTCTAAGAACTGAACTGATACGGCTAGTTTAAACAATGGTCATAGGTAAAAATATTAAAGCCAAATATTAAACATTTCATTGTTATGGATAAGCTGAAGACAATTTTAAGGTACCTACTTAGGATTTTCAAGTTTCAGTCAGGTTTTTATAGATGGTGCTTTTTTGTTTACTACTTATTTCTTCTCATACATTTATTTGTAAACTGTTGCTTGTTAACACGTGGGAAATATTTATTTCTTTTCAGCACATTAAGATGTATCAAACATGACACACATCAAAATGCCTTCAGATTTTACAATATCATAAGAAGTCTCTACAAGTTTTCGCTCACTCACATGGTTGTTTATTTGAAAATAATTAAAAAATTAAAAAATAATTCAGTGTTAAACGGATTTTTGCAGATAACAACCCTGCTTGGAGACAAGTTGCGTTTCATATCAACGTAAATGAAAGGTTCCGAGGTGTCGAGCATGGTCACTACGCAGAAGATGTGTATGACAAGACTAACGGCCGATGGACTTTGGAAATTCCTCAGCTGAGGGCCAAGGAAGGAGATGTCATATACTACTGGATAAATGTGATAGAGGACAACCAGGGCTACAACGCACGCAACAGAGAGTATAGAGTGGGAGGTGAGGATTTAGTTACCTAAAGAGTGCTCTGTCATATATTTAAACAACGGATGTCCTTAACAACAGTCTTATGACTGCATGACAGATTTTGTTATCCGTATTACACTGTCAGAAAAATCTGTTGTAGTACATTACAACTTCAACTACAGCTGCATAATATTTAGCACATTTTCAGATCAGAATCAGATGTTTTATAACCAAACAGTTGACATACTGAGATTAAAATGTGCTCTATTTACTACAGCACATAACATTTGTTGATGTACAGAAAAATGGTTGTTCCAAAAGTATCATAGGTAACACAAACCTCTATTTTTAATCCTTAAAATCTACAGTGAAAACAAACATAAAATATAGCACTACATTAAATCTGTTTATGATGACTAGAAGTTCAGGGACATCAACAGAGTTGACAGAGAACTCAAGGTGTTGGTTTTATCACTCAAGGAAAGCTTTACCCATTCACAATATGCTCCATTTCCCTGGGGTATGCCCGATTGCAGCTTTCCCGATTTATTTACTCTAAGAAAGGAGTAGAAACTTAAAGGAAGCCGTTAAACTTAAATTGGGTTACGTTAATCCCTAATACACCAATATGGGAAGATGCGACTTATGGGAATTCAAGTAAGGACTTTTGCTAATTCATTGTTTCTGTGGGAGAGGGGGGGGGGCTAAAATCAAGACAACGTATCACTGACAAGACAATAGAAGTACAAGATGTAACCCCTTTTGAGGATAATCTATATCCATCTATACTATTATAAAATTGAGGTGGTGTCTGTCTGTGCGGCTGCCACAACTAAAGTACTGAACCGATACAGCCAAAATCAAACACGCCGATAGTCCACATATATAGGAATGTCATAGGCCTATTCACTTCCCCGAGTTCCTCTCGGGCTACACCACCTTGGACGACCAAAGTTTTGAGGTGAGGTTTTCAAAAGTAAATATTAATTGGTCTCCATAGGAGCATAAGAAAATTCACAACCTTTGTGTTGACATTTCAATGTAAACAATCAGAACTGTTGAAAGCTTATTCGACAATTTCAAACAGCTGATCCAAACAAATTAAATAAAATATTTTACACAATTATTTATTGTAGAATTATCTCTGTAACCGTTGGGCATACAACAACGCTTCAATATACAAAATTATTTCTTTTTTTATGTACTACAAATTGGTTTGGAGAGAATGATGGTATTTTGTGTTTTAAGGGTCAATAATGGTAAAATCAATTTTTACCCCACAAACCCCCGTTCCTATAGTCCGATTATGCTGGTTCATGAACTCGATCAAATAAACGTAGGTTTACACATTTGTACCAAATTTCATCAAAGTCGGATCATTTTTGCTCGAGTTATTTAAATGGACGGTGTTTTTGGCCTCTGGGGGCCTCAAAACGAAAAAGTAAATCGGTTCCGGGTCTAGGTCTTACCATAAGACCTACGGTAATAGCTTATTCCCTATATGGGAAATTCGCTAAAAAGAAATAAATGAAAATGACAACCTTTTCAAATGCTTTTTGTGTTCTCCTAGGAGGTGGAACAGGTGGAAGACCTAACGAGCCAGACCCTGATGACGGAGATCCAAAAGATGATGCTGAACCGTTCCCTGGATAATTGGTTGAATTATTCTTTACTCGAGGATTTAAAAAATGTGATTTATATATTTTAAATTATTAATATTACTGAAATTCATACTCATGGATGAATTCCTTTCAAACAAACTGTTTTTATGGTTGTAATCAAAGCTTTAAAATTACTATTATTGTTGAAAGTTTTAAAATATTTTAAAAACTTTGATATTTGAGCGGATTATGTTTTGATATTTCTTGTACTGTGTACAATTTATTAGTGATATGTTTTTTTTTTTCAATAAAAACGTGTATTTCTAAAAATAATTGGTGGCCAGTCTTAATCATACCTAAATTCTTCAATAGCTACTCAGTCCTAAGAGGGTTTAAATAGTTTTGGGTGTCAATTAATTGGTCCGTTTTTAATTACCTAAGTGTTCTAGCTATTATTTTTACAAATACAAAAGATATAGGTCTATTTGACGTATTATTTATTTTTTAAGTGACCACAATTTCTCCCACTCTAAATACAATATAAATAGGCTTACATTTCAACATGTATTACAGTGATTGCAACATTTCACTTGAATTCTACCTTTTTTTACAAACAAAATCAATGGGTGAGCTGAATTCGACTCTCTTATTTTTTTAATGAAAAACACAGAGCTGAAGCAAAGCATATCTACAGCATATCATATGTGGCTGCTAGAATGAATTAACAGTTCCATTGCTCACAGTAATTGATGTAAAAAATCATTTTAACAACAACAAATCTTCTAATATTCTCAGACCAGAGCCAGTTGAGCTAGTTCAAATTCAAGTGCTTTTTTCTTGACTTCTATCACTACTAAGGTCCCCATCCGCAAACAATCTGTTTGATTGTGGAAGTTGATAATGATGTTTAGGTAAATCAACATTCCTGCCAAATAAAATAAAAATCAGAATGACCAGCCGTTTTATTTGCATTTCCACTAAAACCTGCTCTTGCTTATTTATAAAATGTAGATTGCAACTAGGCGTATTTTAATGCAAATATGAGTGAAGAACTTGAAGCTAAGAGGGCTCCACCATTGACTATATAACACTAGTGTTATAGAGTCAATGGTTCCACCCACCGGCTGTTTACGCGTAAACATGGTCTTACGAGAAAGAATCTACCGGCATTATTAACATTTGTATGGCCAAAGTGCCCATCCAACCAGGTAGGGTAAACTAAAAACTGAAGTATAATTTAAATTTCCTAATGACCAGGAGAAAAGCTGGCAATTGTTCGAATACAAGTTTTTTGACCACCAATGCTATCGGCCATAAATCGTTGTGTCACGTATATAACGCTCCCGGTAAATGATGTATAAGTGATCACGAGGGATGATAAAGATATTGCCGTAGTCGTGGGAGATGATCACGACATAATAATGTTGCTGTGATTGTTTGAGACAACCAAGATGGTTCTATGATCGCAGGAGATGACCACGATGTTGCCTAGGTGACGGGAGATGGTCTAACACAGATGTTTTTGATACTATGTTTAAAACAGAAATTTACTTCTTTACACTGCCATCCAGTAGTGACAATAACCGGCATCTGTGTTGATGTTTATGGTTTTTAGGAATGGATCGTCAGTTCATATTATGTAATCAAGTGAAACTTAAAAAAAAATAAAAGCCATATCTACAAAAGCGCTATTCTAAGTCCACTAAACAAATATTTTTAGATAATACAGTACATGCCCGGTGAAGAAGGATATTGATGTTTAGATTCAGCTTTTAGTGACGATTGTAGAGCAATTAATTGAAGTTCCTTGGTGAGTTTCCTTAAAGAAAAGGGTCTCCTGCGGCACCGGATATGTCTTAAACATGACGACTTCCTAATGCTAACGCAAGACAAGGAAAGGCATAACCAAAAAACTGAAATTAAAGTAAAAAAAACTGTATAAATAGCTTTCAATGCAAACATTGATAAGGGCAAAGACAGAGTCAGCTAACAAACATTGTTTTCAAAGATAAGCTGTAAGCAGTGAATTTCAGCTTGTATAAATTTTTAATTCTTTACCTTAAATTGATTACTTTACTAACTTGGACTCATTCATAGAAGTACACAGTTCAATCTTATTAATTAATTCTTATCCAAATTTTCACAGTAATTTTGTATACAGCCATGGAGTACAAATATACAATTTATCGTTTGAAGTGTTAATATAATACTCATTAAAATGCAATTCAAAAGTAATTGAAAGTTATGCAACTTATAAGCCTGAACATAACAAATTTGCAAACTAGCGACAACTGAACTTAAAATATAAAGAATAGAATGTAAAATAATTGAAGAGAAACTAAATACCGTACATTACTACGCTGTCCTTTTACCTGGATGCTTTGGAATGTTTAGCACCATCATTTAGCAAAACAGCATACCGGTTCATCAAGTTTGCTGACCGTCGTTGGTATGCAATGGAACAGCGTCACAGCTGTATCATTAATCATCTGCAAGATGAGGAAAACTCTTCACTTCTTTGCTGGCCACTGTCCAAGATGGACGTTTTGATTTACTCGTTTGCTTTAATCTTGTTTTGTAGTTATACTCAATCTCAGAGGAATTTTGTACCTGAAGCATCATTGGAAGTTTTGAGCCCAAGCGGTTTAAGGATATCCCTTCCAGGTAAGTTTACGATTAATTCATGGTATTTCCAAATGGCTACAGTAAATAGAAGTAAATTTACAAATAGGGGAATAAAATATTCAAAATCATAAACAATACTTTGGTAAATTATTAAATCAAAAGATTTTAGATATATTATTGTTTTAGTAGTGCTGAATATTGAAAATTCCATTTTCAACGATGAATGTATCAGTTGCAGAAATGCAGCAAGATAAATTTTCAATTGTTTAACTTGTAAATTTTGCAATTATATTGCACCAGAATAAATTTTTTGTTTTATGTAGCTTTTTCACCGACTAAGATGAGCTGTTTCTCAAGCCACGATTGTTTATAAAAGTCCATAGATCAAGGAACGATTGGTCCAGTTTCAAACCATCAAGTACTAACATTTTTCTGCATCCAACCTGTGATATTGTGATTATTAGGTGACCACTAAAGTGCAACTAATTTGATTTCATATCAGAACACTACCTGTAAAATAATGTAATAATCATGAATAGATGACAACCCTGCTTGGAGACAAGTTGCGTTTCACATCAACGTAAATGAAAGGTTCCGAGGTGTCGAGCATGGTCACTACGCAGAAGATGTGTATGACAAGACTAACGGCCGATGGACTTTGGAAATTCCTCAGCTGAGGGCCAAGGAAGGAGATGTCATATACTACTGGATAAATGTGATAGAGGACAACCAGGGCTACAACGCACGCAACAGAGAGTATAGAGTGGGAGGTGAGAGTTTAACCCTTTCAGTGCTATGAAACGATATATCGTTGTTTTAAAAAAACCCTAAGGGATATAGAGAGGAAGGTTATTTAAAAAAAAAAATAGCAAAACGGCCATTGGTGACCTGCATGTTCATAGGATACACTACCAACCACTTAGCTAAAAGATTCGCCCAATCCGATGATTTCGAGGTGTATGTCTAAACCAAGGATTATGAACACCTCACTATGCCCCAGTGGTTGTAGTATATCGCTACAAACACACAGGTCACCAATTATTTGCCACACAGGACGGGATTCGAACCCGAGCAGACGAATGCCACTGGCCAAGTGACACACGCCCTAGCCTTCTCGGCTATCTGTGCTTGAAGACTGGGGAGTCAAAACCCGGTATTTAAGCTGTCGCCACCGATTGTGAACAGATGGCGCTGCAGATAGTTGTTCAATGCGTTACTAGGTAGCAGCACCAGCTAGTCACGGACTATTTAGATGCAATCTTTTAGTTTTAGTAGTAGTAAATGTGTTCCTGAGACTTTGCTGCAAAACATTAGTTTCCCTAAAATTGCTATATTACAATAACCTCGTCCAACTAAATCAGGGTTAAATTCAATATTACATTGTAAACTATATGTCTTTTGATTTTGTGAGATTTTGGTTTCAAATAAAGCTATCAGAACATAAAAATTTATAGGAAAACCAGGAAAATTACAACAAAAACTAAGTTTTATTTGATGTTTACTACAAATACCGGGATTTATCTTTCTTATATATTTTCTTATTGTGTTATTATTCAAAATTAGCCTAATTAATAAAATAGTGACAACATGACAGTTAAAATTCAACAACGGGTAATGGAATTAAAAGGCAAACAAAAAAGTCTTACAAAATATGAATTATTGGCCTAGCACTGAAAGGGTTAAATAATATTGTAATCAAGAGGCCTTGGAGCCTAGACGTTCTAACTCATAAAACAATTAAAAAAATACAAGAACATTTTTAATCCCACAGTATACTAGATATTTAAATTACAGTCACTTTGGTATTTGAAAAGATATTTTGAGATGGTAAATAAACTCTTCAGCGGCTGTTTAAGAATAACAAAATTAACATTGCTCTTATGCCGGGCAAATCCAAGATGTTCGTTGGCTTCCATGGACTCCATTGGAAATCAATTCAAAACAACAGAGACAATTTTTTATCTCATAGTATGCAAGATATTTAAATTATAATCACTTTGCTGTTTGAAAAACTATTTTTGGGTGATAATTTAACTCTTCAGCAGCTGAAATTATCCAAGATGGCCGCTAGCCTCCAAGGACTCTTAAGATACCAACACACAAACTTATGATGTAATTTAAAAATGCGGATTTTGTTGCCTTGTGAACTTGATTACTGACTAGGATCAGTTATGTTCCAATTAAGGTAGGAACAAATATAATTATTAATTGGGTGTTTGTTCAGATTACCCCCTTTGTCAAGATGGAAAGAAGAGATTAACAGTTAGGCTAAGTTTAGAATAGGTTAATATAACTAGGCTACTTTTAAGACAACTACAGCTACCTGGGTTCGTATTTTAGGATGAATTTGATTGCAAGATGAGAGTATAATAGAGTGAGATATATTGAGCCTTGTTGGATCAGCTGTTTCTTTAGCGAGTCGAGAGATTAAAAGTCTCTAGGACAGCTGGGCCTAGTTAAGTGCCATCAAAAAATTACTGCCTTTTTTAGGATTGCAACCTTGGGATTACCAGGCGAGCCTTCAGCTACTATTTTGAAGCATGACCCATACAGTGTAGGATTTTTCATTTACGTGTTCACGTAATAGGGCTGCTGATATATTAAATTATAGTAGTAAATAAAGCACAACTGAGCACCCTAAAATAATAATTATATAATTTTTTTGTTGTAGAAGCTACATGTTTGGACATAAGTCCATTTTAAAACTTCAAATACTGTAACAGTAAATGTAGGATGTGTATTTTAAGACAAGTTAAGTGAAGAATAAGTATAGAATATTATGTTTTCAACTATAATAATCTTCATTGTAGAATATTATTTTTCAATTATAATTATAGTAATCTTCATTATTATTATGTGGATCACAAATCAAATCCAAGATGAAGGTAGGTTTCCAAAAAAAGTGGGAACCGCGCTCAAGTAACAAAATATTTTTGTTCAAAATAGTAATCTTTTTCAGGAACTTCATCATCCCCACCTTCTCCCCCTCCAGGGGAGCCTGACGAGGGAAATCCTGAAGACGATGTAGAACCCATCCCACCCGCCCCCTTGAAAAAGAAACCTAAACGCAGAAACTAGTGCAGTAAAATGTAGATGACTCTCATTATTTATTTTTTATATTTGTATTTTTTCCCAGTGCTGTTGGTATTTCTTATTTATTTTTTTTTTAAACAAGTATTTATATACAATCTATTCTATACTAGAACAATAAGTAAATTTAATAACCATTTTAACATGGGTTCTTAATGATTTATTTTTTGTAAAATGTGTCTTGACAAAGCTAAAATTCTATTAAACTGAGCTTATTTATTAGGCGCTCTTTATTGGTATTGTTTAGTTTCCATCAATACATATTTAATTTGCCCATTCACGAATGAGCTAGTACAGATCAAGAATGAACTGTTTCAATAAAAAGTGGCAGAACCAAGAAACAGACCCAAGTCATTGCTAGCTTGGTTTCACAGCTATCAACACAGACCAAACTATTGTATCATCAGAAGGTTTAAAAATATATGACATGAGATTAAAGGGTCAAAAAAAGACATGAGCACAATAAGTGGAAAAAATAATTGTATTTACATCTAATAAGAAATTAAATATCTACTAAGTATTTGCAATAACACTGTACACACTTTTTTTAAATTCAAATATTCAATTTGTTTAAATTTTCCTAAGATTGTTTACAAAATTTTTTTATAGTTGAAATACATTTTTAAATAAAATATCCTAGTATGTGATCCACCTATTATGTTAAATTTTGAAACTCAATTAACAAGGACTTTTAATCATCCACATGTTTTTAAAGGACAATCTTGTATTGAAACAAGGGAAATCCAATAATTCTTGACCTATGTTTGATAACTTTAGAGGTTATCCATCATATGAGGAAAGTATAAATAAACCTTTGAATAGCAAGAATAGAATTGTATAATATCTGACCATGTGTAGATAGATAAAAAGTTACACTCGTAAATTTCTAGGTCGTCAATAAGTCTAATCATTCAAAATGACTAATTACAACCAACACTTGTTTATACTAGGACTAAACTAGGTCATAGTAGATGTTAAATATAACAAATGTAGAAACCAATGTATTAATACTCTAACCAAACTCATAATTTATCAGCTAATGACAGTCATAATCACTTTTCCGAAGTTGATTTTTTGTTTATTTACGTAATAATTGTTCAGCAATATTATAATGAGAATTCATGTAACTGTGACTGTTGCACAGTATATGTACTAAATGTGAATTAATAGTTTTTTTAAATGATTTTGACTTGATCTAAATGTTAATATTGGAACTTAAACTTATGAATTCATGACAACCTGAGATTCAAAGTATGCTAACAACTCACTGACATTTTTCCTAAATTCAGAAGTTTCATCACAGTTAGTGTCCACCTGAAAACATTTCAAAATTAATTCATACTATAAATCAATTAGTGTAAATACAGACATTAATGGGGGGGGGGGGCACTGTGAATCCAGTGACAGTTAAAAAAATAAATAAAATAAATTAAACATCATTTAGAAAAATAGTTTTATTTTTATTTTTACATTATGAATTTAAAGGTTTGCGAGTCCTTGGAGCCTAGTTGTTTCAACTCATAAAACAATTACAAAACTAAAAAGAAAATTTAAAATTTCACAGTACCCTAGATATTTGAATTACTATGCTTTTGTTATCTGAAAAAATATTTTGAGATGTTAAATAACCCTTCAGCGACTTGTCGAAATTAATATTGCTGTTATGGCGGGCAAATCTAAGATGGCCGTCAGCTTTCAAGGACTCTCTTGGAAAACAATTATAAAACCACAATTAAAATTTCTAATTCTAGATATTTAAACTACAATCACTTTGTTATTTGAAAAAAATATTTTAGATGGTAAATAACTCTTCAGAGACTGTTTGAAATTATTCCAAGATGGCCGCCAACCTCCAAGGACTGTTAAGTGAGAGGAAGATACTTCTAACTCCTGTAGTAAAACTCCAATTATCCAAACTCCAACTATCCGAATCGAAGACTATCTGAATTGCTTACAGTAAGAGTTTATAAAAAACTAAAACCGTAGTAAGAATTGTTGTTAAAGAAGTAAGAGGCCGTGATTGTGGCAAAATCCAAAAACTCTCTTGCGGTCACAAAAATATCGTCATGCTTTTTGCAACTTCTTCAAAATCTTGCACACTTTCCATGGTCTTGCAGAAATAATTATCGTCTCCCGCAATCACAGAATCATAATCATCGTCTTCCGTAATCACATCAAAATCTAAAATACATTCCACGGTTGTGTAGTAGACATGATCATCGTCTCCTGCAGTCATGAAAACTTGTCATCATTTTACGTCAATCTTGATCATCTTCTGCGGTCTTATAGACATCATCATCGTCTTCTGCAATCACGGAAATAACGTCCGCAACTGTAGGAAAATCTTAAATATCTTCCTCGGTCTTGTAGAAATTTTGGTGTCCCACGGTCACGGAAAATCATAATCGCGATCACCGCAAAAGCTTGAAATTTTTTATCACAAAATCTTCGTAGATGCGTTCTGTGATCTCAATAGTAAAAGCTGGGCTTGACTGAGCCTATTTGGTGTAAAATACCTACAATTTTGAGAAAAATCCAACTATCCATATTTTTGACTATCCAAATGTGTTTTGGTCCTAATTGATTTGGATGATTGGAGTTCTACTGTATTTGAGTCAGCTGAACAATTACATACCTGTATTGTTTGTAAGTTTGAAGACGAGGGTGGAGTCAGACACGTGGTGGGGTACCACAGTTCTACCAACTGAAGCCACACCAGGTCTGTGTAACTTGTACCAACTTGCTTGAACAGGCCCATACAGCAGTCCTGCCAAAATGAAAACAATCACTCACTATAGCTAGCATCTCTGTTTTTGTGTATACAAATCAGGCAAAAATAACATGCAACTACACACAGTGACAAATGATAAACTTACAAATGTGATGTAACAAAGGTTTCAAGTTCTCTGGTTATGAAGATGTTTTTGGATAGCAAGCTTATCTGAATGGAAGAATCTACCCTGGCATAAAAACAAAAGTTTCTCAAAACTGGCTATTTTTCTTCCCAACATAAACCTTTCTAGGTTTATAGACTAATGCTGTTGAAATGGAATATTCAAAATGTTGTGTATGGTGTAATGTTGTGTATTGTCTTTTTGTACCAGGCTGTAGACTATTCCCATTCAGATAAACCAGCTAACCCAAAAAAATACCAAAAGTGAGTTTAGCCATAGACAAATAGAATAAATATAGACTGTCAAAGGAAGGTTATGGCGCACACCGCAGCAGGCGAGAAGCGCAGGAACCGTATGCGACCAGGAGAAACGCTGCAGTGGTGTGCGCCGTAACTACACGGCAAACCTAGCGGTGGACGCCAGAACTTATGCTAACCGCAGCACAGCTGACGGTCTATATTTATTCTATTTGTCTATGGTTTAACAGGTGCTATTTTTTGTTGTTGCAATTGATTTTTTAACACCAGCATTATTTTTGTCTCAAAAAATGTAATCTTAACTAGTCATTGCATTGTTCATATGTAGAATATTTCATTGTCACTGACAACATCAACCAACACAAGTTTGAGTTGTGAAAAAAATAATAGCCTACTATTCCGTTAATTCTAGGGGTGTGCGAGTATTCGAACATCGAGCTTTTTCGAGCCGAATAGGACGCTATTCGGCTCGGCTCGTGATTTTCAAAAAGTTCGAAATGTTCGAGCCGAATACTTATTGAACTACTGTAGCAAATAAAAATTAAATTAATAAATAAGGAACTAACTTTCATTTAAATTTACTCTCCTCCGTTTCATAATTGTGTCTTGATAAGCACGAACCTCAGCTCAGTCAAGACGCAATGATTATCGATCGTAATTTTGAGGAAACTACCACCTATCGCGTTGTCTTTCTAACACAACTATTCGTATCGTAATATGCAACGCAGTGCGAGTGCGTGATTGGCTAAGTCGCTATGACGACACACGGTTGCCGTGGCAACCTACAGTGCGCACTGAGCACTGCGCCTTGTGTGGGAGGGGAGATTATACCAACAAACCATTTCAGGAATTCTATTTTGGGACGGATGAAAGATAAGGAAGAAACAAAAAGTGGTCACGTGTGCAAATGTAGTGGGCGAGACAATAAGGCTGTAATCATCGTGTCGTTGTTCCTTGTTTGTTTACTTTTTCAGATTCCTTATCAAACTCCTTATCATCAAACTTCCTTATCTGCTATCTCTCTTTCTCTCTCTCTCTAACAATGTACTGATTAAACAGATTGTGTTTGACGACTTTTCTACTTATAAGTTTCCCTGCGGTTATTTTAGTTCAATCAATCCCATAACCTTTCTAATGTTTATCAAAATAATTAATTAATATGTTTTGTATTTTATTTCCTTTAAACCAACCCCTATTTACCATCTGTATTTTATAGAATAAAATGTTTGTTTAGGCCTATAAAGTTTGACTGGCCACACAATTTTGTACCTATTTTATTTTTTATAAAGTAACAGTTACTTTGAGGATTATATATATATATATATATATATATATATATCAATAAGTGGCGCGTGCTGTAATGAATGCTTTTTATTATCAAAATAAGTAATGAGTTATTAATTTTTGATAGTACATGGGTCATTGAATACCATAATGTGATGTAGTTTCCTATTTGTATCTTGCAAATAAATAATAATTGATAGTTAATTCTGGAAATGAAAAATAGTGATCGCATTCATAAACCTGTTGTCAAAACAGCAACGAGGGTGTAAGGGTTTATTGTTTCAGACGCAAGGGTGTTTAAAGGACAAAGTGTTGGGCCACCCTGATTGGGGGGGAGGGGGGCGGTGAGACTGTGTGAAGGGGAGGAAACTGGTTTTGGCTATTTATTGATTAGTTCGCCGACCCTTCTAGATAACATAATTGAGTGACAGTGTTAAATCATCGTGTTCTGCATTTCATTTCTTGTTTACTTTGTGTGTTATTCTATTAATTCTAGTGCTTTGGTTATTAATTCTAGTGCTTTGGTCTATTTCCTCTATATGTCAATTATATATTTTTTAATATATAAGTAAAACTTGTCTCTCCACCTTTTTGGATCCAAACCAACCATGTTCTTTTTTGATTAATAGGATTCATAAAACAAAAATATTTTGTGCATGGAAAACAACAAGAATAATCACGTGTTTTTAAATTTATTTTGTATTTATTTATACAAAATAGAATTAAATATTCATAGTAGCCTAGTTACAATATACATATGTAATCGACTTGCTAGTTGTTTTGTCGTCATTCAAGGTCGCGTTGCTGTTCTGTTTTGAAAGACAATCTGATTGTCTTTGTCTCAGTCTGCACTGCATATCTCTTCAGGCCTTTAATCGATATCCTTTTATTTCTTGCATCTTCATTTAGTTCAGTTCAGTTCTTATCGTGATTATCTACTATTTTATGTCTTGACAATTCTCAATGTTTTTAAACATATTAAAATAACATTGTGTTTGTTTAAAAATTGACTGAACATTATTATTATTATGCACTTTTTTAAGAAAAAAAGTTTATTAATTAAGATAAGGTTACGCTAGGAAAAGCTCGGCTCGAAAAAGCTCGAGCTCGAACATTTTTTAAAAAAGCTCGGCTCGGCTCGGCTCGAGGTTGAAAATCACTATTCGCACACCCCTAGTTAATTCAGTACTACTGTTTTTTTTTTCAAGTTGATATGTTGAATATCATCACAAATACCGTTTAGGATTAGGTTATTATATGTTAGGTTAGGTTAGAATAAGCACGTATCTTACAACTTAAATTATGTATTGTTACATACAAATCATACAGTGGTAGGGAATTGATGTAAAACATATTGTTAGAACATAAAATAGGATCACAACAATATAATCCCTCACCCTAAAAATCCCAAAACTGAATTCCATTTTTGAAGATGTTTAAGTTTGTGAGACTTACCTGGAGAGGCAGAGGTTGACGAATGCTGAGATAAGGTGAAGCAGCTATCAGTAGCTGGTGTACTTCCCTCTCTTGCAGCTGCAGGTCCTCAGCAAGCTGGCCCAAGTTACTCAACAAGGCCCGTTGTAACTTATACTGCTGAGTCAGCCTGTATGCTGAGCCTGAGTCTCTCAGTATGCTGGCATCAGCACTGTGACTCAGAACTTTACACAGAGCAGGCAGCACTTGCCTAGACAAAAGTCAGAATCATCAAAACTGCTGAGTCAGCCTGAATGCTGAGCCTGAGTCCCTCAGTATGCTGGCATCAGCACTGCGACTCAGAACTTTACACAGAGCAGGCAGCACTTGCCTAGACACAAGTCAGAATCATCAAAACTGCTGAGACAGCCTGAATGCTGAGCCTGAATCCCTCAGTATGCTGGCATCAGCACTGTGGCTCATAACTTTACACAGAGCAGGCAGCACTTGCCTAGACACAAGTCAGAATCATCAAAACTGCTGAGACAGCCTGAATGCTGAGCCTGAGTCCCTCAGTATGCTGGCATCAGCACTGTGGTTCATAACTTTACACAGAGCAGGCAGCACTTGCCTGGACCCCAGAAAGATTAGAGTACTATTTTTGATGTATTCCAAACAATTTTGTTTTGCAATGTAAGATATAGCCATGTTATTGGCAATTGTTTGTCATACAAAAATTAAATAGTTCTTCTAACAAACAATTTACAACTAGGCCTACTGTAAAATAAAAATTTTCACTGTAAAACTTTTTACTGGGCATTTTTATAATTTTCTAAAATGTGTTGGAAGACATGTTTTATTTTATTAAATTCCTGTATTAAATATTATGTTGCTAAAAATGAAATCATAATATTATTTTTTTAAGTACTAAGCTTGTTCTTACTTGAGGGTCCGAGCTCGAATGAAGTCACGAGAGTTGGATGCAAGCGTACAAAGCAGCAGGAAAGCTCGATGGATGACAAGTGGACGAGTAGCAGCTTGGAACCGGTTGACCAGTGGAGACCAGATCTTGTGTACTAGAGGCAGCAACTGGTTCTCTTCTGAGGCTAATACCTCTACACCCTCTCTCAGGATCTGTCAACAATGATTGCAAAATTGTACAGTAAAATAGTATACAATGAAAGAAATCGGAAAGGAAAAAAAATTACTGAACACGGTAGTTCAGTGGTCGCACATAGGGCTCTAGGCCAGGATTTTGAATTGCAGAAAAAGGAGGATAGCAGCTAGCTTACCTTGAAAGTGTAGGTAGGCCATAGAACATTTAGAAAAACACTGTGCACACAATATTTCGTCCCCTGAAGGACTTTTTCAAGTGTAGAGAAAGAGTTTAGTAGTTTAGTAATATTGTGTGCACAGTGTTTTTCTACATGTTCTATGGCCTACCTACACTTTCAAGGTAAGCTAGCTTTTATCCTCCTTTTTCTGCAATTCAAAATAACTTGTAGTTAGTTTCAGAGTAAATTTTTCAAAGAAAAGAAAATAATTCAGTGGAAGACTAGGATAGTAGGCATAGTCTTTGAACTGCAACTTGAAAATAAAGAATACTGTTACCCACATCCATGACAAGGATTTGACGTTGCTCGTCTTTACTCGGTAGAAAGTGAAGGGTCCGTTGCAGCACTGCCACCGTCAGTTGGACACTTGGAGGTACAGGTTTGGAAACTTCCCCCTCCTCCTCCTCACACTCCTCAGTTCTGGAACACCCAGAGATGAGTTTTTTTTTTTATTTATATGACCCACATTTACACTTTAGGATCTAGCCTGAAACTGTTTTACGCATTACTTCAAACTAGTTCTGGAGGATCGTAGAGTCACAGTGATAAAATTAATTATTGATTGGGAGGATTTGAACCCCAGTCTTTGGGGACCAAAGCCCTGCACTCTACCACTAAACCAACTCACTATACCTACAACTAAGCCCTTTGAGTTCCATAGATTATTTATTGATTATCATGCCTATTTTTATATTTTTCTCTATAGTAATCACTAAAATCCAAATTCTTAAAAACAGTATTTTGTTGTAAACACAAGTAATGATGAGTAAAAGCTAATTTAGAAGACATTCACAACCAGCATTTGAAAAAAGCATCAGTAGATGCTGAAAAACCACTCCCTCCCAAAAAGGCCCTTCTCACAATCATATAAGGCTGGTTGTCAAACTCATAAAATATTTGGTTTACTTACACCTTTCATCACAATTTCAAAATCATAGAACTTTAAAGAAGTAATTATGCTTTTGGCAATTATTAAAAAAAAATTTAAAAACAGTGTTTTTGGTTTATGGAGACCCTGAAATAAAAACTTCAAGTGATCCTGGACAAAATTGTTTATAAGATTGTGAATAAGTACTTCCACAGCAATATTTGCTGAGCTATAAAATAGCAACAATCGTACCTTGTGTCACTGGTGAACATGTTTTCATTGATATTTCCCTCAGGTAGAGTATCATCTTCGTCATCCAAAGTTTCCGCTGTGTAGACAAGTCTACGATAGTCAACAAGCTGGGCAATAAGAGATGGTGAAGATGAAGACATGGATGGGGTTGACGTTTGTTTGTCTACATTCGCAGCACTGCTAGACTGAGAGTGGTGCCAACCTCTCAGACACATCACGAATGTCAAAAACACTCTTAGAAAACCATTGGTATTGTGTTCCTGAAACTCATCGTAGCTTTGGGCCAAGACCTGTGAAAAATTATTCTTTTAATGTTATAATATCATGCAATCGTTTCCTAATAAAACTAAACTGTAAATAAATAATGGGGCTCGATATTATGGTGTAGTCACCAATGGTGGATAAAGATTCTAACAACCAAAATTTTGGTGATTTTACAGAAAATAGAGTCAAGCCAAGCTTTTACCATTGCCATCTTGGCGTGAGCGTAGATTTTACGTCATATTGTTTTTGGCTAATACGAAGAGAATACTCGTTGCAAAGCGGTGGGAACTTGCTAAAATAAGATAAGTAGTAATGTAAATAAACATAGCGATGGTCTCAGAGCTTAACAAGCTCATTTTCAAGCGAAAGAAGCTTGGAGACCTTAAATACTGTGAAACCTCATAATTAAGAAATTACAATAATTGAATTTTAACAACAAATCATTAAACTCACATCTTCAATGATCTCTTGAAGGCTAGGCAGCACCTGTATTGTTGTGTACCTCATGACAACTGACAACACTGACAGTACTCCAGGACTCTGGTGAGCTCTGCGTAGTCTCATGGTGATGTGGTGTGACAGGTAGTCTACATTAGCACACACTAACTGTGTCACTTCCCCACCCCCACATACTCTGGCGACATGCTGTACTGCTGACAGACCTGTGGGGAATACATCAATCATTTGCGTATACATTGTGTCAAGACTTGACCAAGTGATTATACATGTCGTTGGAGTTACAATATGTAGTGTAGCTTAAATTTACATACATAAGGAAAGCTGATGACAGTTCATTATTTGTTCCTCCATTGTGAGATTCTTTATTGTCAGACCATGTTATTTCATGGATGTAGAAATTTGGTAACAAAATTATGTATGTTGTGGATAGCCCTACACAATACTCTTTATTTGATCCACCTTTCCAATCACATGTTGTAAGAAATTATCAGTTGGATTGGATTATATTTGTGACAGTGCAATATTAAGGCGAAGAAGAATCAAGGTGAACGATGTTAGTTGATTTAAGTTAGTTGAATGAAGTGATGATAGCTCTGTTACTACACTGGTTCTGTAGTTCTTTAACTACGATTACAAATTAAACATCAACTGAACAAGGACAGCTGAAAAGTTTTAAACAATTATCTCAGGAAAGAATCGGTGACATTTTCGTTACTGTACCACACGAACACCAAATCCACCCAGCATATCAGAGTTATTTGTGTCTTGTGTGTGTATTTTTCAAACCATTGCTACGGAGATTAAAAAACATCTTAACATTCTTAAAGGAATGGAAGGAGAATTAAGCAATCCCACTGTGAGAATGAGACAAAGGATTTTAGGTAAACTATGGAGTCAAATTATATAGTCGTTAGATGGAGAAGAAACAAATCTTCTGATAAAAACAAGGTGACAGTAAAGCTAACTGCCATGGAAACAAAGAGGAAACACACCAGCAGCAGCCAGGGTATGTAGAGGACTGCCAGCACACTCTAGTAGAGGGTAGAGACATTTCAGGAGACAGCCAGAGAAGTGATCATTCCCTACAGCAACAGCCAGCAATCCCAACCCCTCCGCTAGTAATGATATCTGTAAACACGGTAAACTATTAATTATTTTGAAACCAGAACACAATGCTGTGTATTTGAACCTGTATGAGTGAAAGGCGAGTGAGAAATTAGTTATTTGTGCAACTAGTGAGAAAAGTGAGCAATTGACTCACTCGAGAGAAATCCTTACTCACGAGCCGTAGGCGAGAAAAAAATAACATATTGTGTGACAGACAATATGGTTTTAGACGCAACAAATCAACAAAATTGGCACTCATTGATTTCATCAACAGCAGTATAGACGCAATGGAGGCTGGAGAGACGGTAGTTGGTTGTTTTGCTGATCTCTCCAAAGCCTTCGATTGTGTCGAACCTGCGATTCTATTGGAAAAACTGGCATCAATTGGAATCTCAGGACATGCGCTGAAGTGGCTCACATCCTATATGAGCAACCGATTCCAAGTCACTGAGATTCAAAAAAACACAAATTCAAAAACTGAAAGAATTTCATCAACAAAAAAACTGATCTCCAATGGCGTCCCCCAGGGATCTGTCCTTGGACCTCTCCTTTTCTTGGTTTACATCAACAACATCACAGATACTGTTCCTCAGGACAGCGTCTACCTCTTTGCGGATGATACAACGTTATTCGTAAGGGGAACTGACGACGCGGCCCTGGAGGCAGAATCTAATCAAAGAGCAAATGATCTGGCTGACTTTTTTTCCTCAAACAAACTCAAATTAAATTCACAAAAAACAGGATACATGTGTGTCCAAACTGCAAAAAGACAAAATTTAAAAAATAATAGGACTCCGAACCTATTAATTGGAGAGGATCAAATTCAAATTTCAAAAACTGCTGACTTTTTGGGGGTGAGATTGGACGATAAATTGAGCTGGGATGCACAAATAAAAAAACTGGAGGGGTCAATGGCTCGAGGGGTCTTTGTACTTCGAAGAATAAGAACCTTCGGAAACCTGGCTCTCTCTAAACTTGTGTATTTTGGCCTAATAGAACAGCACATTTTGTATTCAATCATTCTATGGGGAGCTGCGAAGAAGAATATTGACCAGATCTTTGTTTGGCAGAATATGGCAGTGAGAGCAATCTTGGGCATGCCGCCTCGGACCAGCTGCAAAAATGTTTATAAAGAACTTGGCTTTCTCACAGTCCCTTCACTTTATATCTATGAATCAGTTTGCTATATAAAATCACAGAACATTAAACCAACTTTTACAAATCACACTTACAACACACGAACAAAGGGCACACATGCAGTCCAACATAAACTCACAAAATTTGAACACAAACCAGATTACATGGGAATGAAATTGTACCAGGCCCTACCGAAAAAATTACTTGAAATTCAGAGCTTAACAAAATTCAAATCAGAATTAAAAAAATATCTAGTAGAGTTAAGTTTAGAAGACATAGACAGTTACCTAGACGGTGACAAATATTAGTTTTAAGTTGGTTATTCTTTGTATTAACCCTGACCTGTCCAATTCCTTAAGGCAAAGGACTACGGACGGAGAGATCATGTATCATGTATGTATGAGTGAGGAATGGTTTCTCGAGTGAGGCAATTGTACTTTGAACTCGAGTTGCACATTATACTTTTCCTACAGTTACCATAAAACAAATAAATTGGTGAAGAAACATAACCTATTTTTACACAGAAGTGAACTTTTAACATAACATTTAATGTGAAGTGACAAACACAACAGTACAACAGCTGACCAGCTGATTTACAGCCAGTGCTGCCAACGTATTTCGCGCGCATACGACGTTGCCTTCATGTTACGCGCTCACTATTTCGTGCCTTCACGTTGCAAATCTGGAGTGAGACAAAGTAATTAGAGTGAGACAAAGTTAACATTGTCTCACCGATGAGCGAATTGGCCACTTTGCTTTCTCAAATCAGTGAGAGAACATGTACATTGTTAGGTAACTGTAGGAAAAATTAGTTGAAATGAAATGAAATGAAATGAAATGAAATGAAATAATATGAAATGAAATAATATTTTATTTCCCATAAATTATATACATATAATTACATTGTATTTTTTTTACTTAAAATATACTACAGCAAACATTACAACTAGATAACAAAACAAAAAATTAAATTCTGTAGAAAAAAAGCCAAAAAGTGCAAAAAAAAAATACGTTCTAACAGAGGAAAAAGTCTACATAGGCAGGGCCTGTGCGTAGACTCGAGTTGCGAAAAGGTTAATTTAGATGGGAGGTAAAAAAATGAATAGGAAAACAAAAAATAATTAGTATAATTTTAAATAAAAAAAAAGTGTTCTTGCTTGAAACTGAATTTTTTATGTTCTGGAAATAATTGACGATAAAAAAAAATTTTTTGTACAATACTGAGGAAATTTATAAAAATCAGGTGAAGATTGTTGTTTGACTTAAGTTGTTGTTTTAATAGTACTTTATTGTTATTTATTAACCGTAGTAAAACTGAAAAAAATTAATAATTCTTGATAGTAACAATATCTGTAATCTTTTCTCGATCTTGTCTCAAATTAAAAATCCAGTCTCGCCCATCCCACACCAACTAAAGTAGTCACAAGCTCCACCTTGCTGGCCATACTACCTTCCTTACCTGCACAATGTTACTCTGGGCCTGAGATACAGAGATGCCAGATGGTGCTATACACACAGGCAGGTCCCACAGTGAGGGCTGTAGATAAACACTGACTAAAGTAGTAACAAGCTCCGCCTTGCTGGACATACTACCTTCCTTACCTGCACAATGTTACTCTGGGCCTGAGATACAGAGATGCCAGATGGTGCTATACACACAGGCAGGTCCCACAGTGAGGGCTGTAGATAAACACTGACTAAAGTAGTAACAAGCTCCGCCTTGCTAGCCATACTACCTTCCTTACCTGCACAATGTTACTCTGGGCCTGAGATACAGAGATGCCAGATGGTGCTATACACACAGGCAGGTCCCACAGTGAGGGCTGTAGATAAACACCAACCAAAGTAGGAACAAGCTCCGCCTTGCTGGCCATACTACCTTCCTTACCTGCACAATGTTACTCTGGGCCTGAGATACAGAGATGCCAGATGGTGCTATACACACAGGCAGGTCCCACAGTGAGGGCTGTAGATAAACACCAACCAAAGTAGGAACAAGCTCCGCCTTGCTGGCCATACTACCTTCCTTACCTGCACAATGTTACTCTGGGCCTGAGATACAGAGATGCCAGATGGTGCTATACACACAGGCAGGTCCCACAGTGAGGGCTGTAGATAAACACCAACCAAAGTAGGAACAAGCTCCGCCTTGCTGGCCATACTACCTTCCTTACCTGCACAATGTTACTCTGGGCCTGAGATACAGAGATGCCAGATGGTGCTATACACACAGGCAGGTCCCACAGTGAGGGCTGTAGATAAACACTGACTAAAGTAGTAACAAGCTCTGCCTTGCTGGACATACTACCTTCCCCACCTGTAAACGCAGGGTTACATGAGAAAGTGAACTCCTGTTTAAAATGCACGAACAACTGTTGTGATGGTACATGAGTTCAATTTTAAGTACTGTATCACCAGTTGTAAAAAAAAAATGGGATTGAGAAAGACCGTTAAAATGCCGCCACAGGTACCGTACTTCGGTCTCATTATGGCATAGGCCTGATAATGACGATTACGCAATGCTAGCCGCAATGTTTACCGTACTAACACTAGAACAGCCTTTAATGCCAGATATACCAATCATTAAAGACGTGATGAGTTTGTATAAATTATCAAGTAAATTATGAATATTCAGTACTTGTTTGCTCAATAAAATAGACTGTCTATCCTAAAGAGAATTAATCAATACTTTAAATACCGTATCTTGCCTATGGGTTTATTGTACTTGTTTTGCAGATGATAAATAATTTTCTTTTAATACTTAAATCTACACTATCCACACCGTAAACTTTTTTTAAAGCATCAATTCATTCAAGTTCGAAACATAATTTTTTATCGGAAATTCAGATAAAGATAAATTAGTAAACAAACAAACCTCCTCCCAGAATGCTGTTCAACAATTGAACCACTTCCTTGCTCAGTTCCGGGTTGGAGTCAAATAGATCCAGCAGAGCGTGAGTTATAACTGTGAGGTCTGCAAAGTTCCGCAGGACTGAGCAGAGCTCGTGGAATCTGCGTAATTTCTCGGCAGTATTAAGGTACATGAAACGCTTCCATGGTTCGTGGATCACTACATCAGTTTCCACCTCTGAAAATATTAATTAATGACAAACAGTTTCAACTTTCAACTAACAAAAACTACTTCAAGAACATCCATCCAAACAAATGTAAGTTTTCAAACTTAGTGGATGAATAATTTTGACTTTTTTAAGACTGAAAAAATGTTCAGACTTTTTTAACAGTAGTGCTAAGTTAGATTTTTTCTAAGATTTTTGCTAAGAATTTTTCAAAAATTTTATACAATAGGATTAAGGAACATCTTGATAATGAACTAGGAGAATACCAAGGAGGCTTCAGACCTTGGAGGAGCTGTGCAGAACAAATAATTACGCTGAAATTGATTATGGATTACTACAGAAAACGAAACAAACTTCTTTCAATAACATTTGTAGATTTTAAGAAAGCTTACGATTCCATTTGTCTAAACTGGTTTGAGACAGGGAGATGGCCTTTCACCACTTCTTTTTAACTGTGCACTTGAATACATTATGAGGGAATGGCTTAAAACAAACCCAAAAAATATTACTGTTGGAACAAAAAAAGATGACATAAAGTTAAACTGTTTAGGATTTGCTGACGATCTGGCTCTTCTAGCTAATAACATCCAAGAAACCAAGCAACAAATAAAATCACTTCAGGAAATAGCCCAGAGCATAGGTCTAAAAATTTCTTTTGAGAAAACTGAAATAATGTTAACAAAACCACCTACTAAATAATGCTAACAAAATCAAAATTGGAGAACATTGCATCAAAATTGTAGAAAATTTCAAATACTTAGGTGAAGTTATAACATACAACCTTAAAGAAAATCGATCATGGCAAAACAGAATTAATAAATTGATCAGAATGCAACATATTACTAAAAACACATAGGCCTACAACAAAAAATGCCTATCAATAATAGCAACAAAATTGAAACACTACAAAGCAGTTATACTTCCACAAATAACATATGCAAGTGAAACTATGTTTAAAACAACTAACACTGTAGCAATAGATAAAATACTAAAAATAGAAAGAAGAATCATCAGAACATGTATAAACAAAAAATATCAAAAAGATGGAGTTTGGAGATTGGCCTCAAATAAAACTGTATATAAGGAAATAGAGCCATTAACAAGTATAATTAAAAAGAAAAGAATTTCATTCATTGGACATCTTTTAAGGACACCGGAAAATAGAATAAGCAAGAAAATAATTGACAAGTTGTGGAATAGCAAGAGTGACTTTAGGTGGATTACAGAGATTAAGGAGGACATGAGAAGGTTGAAAATATCATTAGAAGATTTGGAAAATAAGTCAGAGGCGCTTGCAGTACTCAAAGACAAAAATATCATCCTGCCAATAGGAGCAAACAATCAGAGACAAGGAAGAGTGGTTTCGGAAGAAGAAAGAAAACAACGGTCGGAAAGAATGAAGAAGTATTGGGCGGACAAGAAGAAGAGACAGAATTCAAAAAGAATCTAACCATTATATTGACTTAAGTGGTCCAATGCTGGCCATAAAATAATAATAATAATAAAGTGCTAAGTTAGTTTAAGCTTTGAGATGACATTGTAATTACTCATCATTAATTTATGACTATTCTCTATGTACATATTTGTATATTTATAGACAAATCAAACTCTTTCTTTCTTTTAATAAATGCAAAAATTATGAGTACATCCAAAAATCACTATAAACAGTATAAACTTAATAAATGTTTCTTTTTATCATTTAATTCACGTTAGCGTGTATCTTTAAATTGCAATGTGTTTAATGCAGTTAAGTATTTTAATAGAACAGTTGTTTAGTCCTTTACATTCTGCTGTGTTGTTTTTCTTCATAATTAACATCAAAATTATTTCTTTCAAAATACAATACTTCTTAACCTTTTATTGCCCAACCACTGAACAAATTGGAAAAATAGGAAAATATTTGCTGGAAGATATTTTTATGGATCAAATTAAGTTATTAAATATCTCCATGTTTACTTGTAACAATTATGGGAAAAAATGTTGTTTGGGACTTGAGGGTCCCGTCGGTCGACAAAGGGTAAGTACCTCTATGGAGTCCAGTATGTGCTGCAGCCTGGTGGACTAAGTTAGAACTACAAGGACATTTTGAAACTGTTGCTAGGCAACAACTACAACCAATAGCAACCCTAGAATGGCCTCATTGGCAGCTGTTATGAAAAAGCAATGCTGGGACTTAAGAGTCCCGTCGGTCGACATATGCTTACCTGATAAAACAAAACAACTAAAACAAGATTAGACAGAATGAGGAATAGTTGAAGAAAGTTTGAGAGAACGAGTAGAGAAGATTAGATTGAGATGGTTCGGCCACGTAAGAAGAATGGAGAATGAAAGAATCCCGAAAAGAATGAGTGAACTTTGAATGGATGGAAGAAGACCATAAGGAAGACCCAGAAGAAGGTGGTTTGACGAGGTGAAACAAGATGTAGAAGCAAGAGGAGTGCAATGGCAGTATGTAGAGGAAGTGGGATTGTGGAAGGACAGACGAAGATGGAGAGGCCTAGTGAACACCCAGACCCGAGATAATCGGAGCGGAGGTATGTATGTATGCTTACCTGAACAATAGTTATAGGTTGTTTAGTTAAATACACTACAGACAATCTTGTTGAACTAATTGACAGAAAGGTTAAAGAAAACTACAAGTTTAACAATAACTGATTTGCCTGTGAAATTTTAAAAGTTTCCAGATCTGCATTCTATTTTGTTATTTTGTTGTTACTGAATTATGTGAACACTTAGGATTTTAAACTGTTGAGCACTTTGATGTCAAAGATATAAACTTAAGTCTATAAAACAAGAGGAAGAGACTTTCATCCTTAACTTCATCGTGGACAACATTTCGGTCATCTTTGAACATTCAATACCATTTACTCAAAACAACACCTCTCATGAAGTTTCCTTTGTACTTTCCCCAAATATATGGATAAACCATTGCTGTCATGTTGCATTTTGTAACATTTGAGATAGAGTACCTCTAACAGAGCAGTCCTCCAACAGAGTGATGTGGGATGTATCTAGCCTACTGACCAGACTCAGGGTGATCAGCAGTCTGTTGAGGAACGGTCCAGAGTCGAGTACTTGCGGTAGAGTCGGACCTTGGAGTCTCAGGTATCCGACAAGCAGTCTGAGGCAAATGTGCTGACTCCTCTCATCTGCAAAAATATGGACTTGCTTTTATTTTACTTGACTAGAAATAGAATTCTGAAATATTTACTCCTTCAAAGATAAGTTACGCGATACTTGTGTTGATAATAGCTGTGTTGAGGATTTAGTGGTGGTTTTTAAAGAGATAAAAGGAGGTTTTGAGATATATGAGTGTTTACCTGAATAAAAGGGAAGTTTCAGAAAGAAAGATGTAGAGAGACAATACTGTTTTAGTTTCCAAAAAGGTAGTTTTGGCTAGAGAAAATACTATTTAAAACATGTCTCTATGATAAGTCAAAAATTTTAAAGTAACTTACTGAACAGGTCATTTATATAACTTAGATCAGAGAGGCCTTAGTGCTAGGATCAAAATAGAACAGATAAAATTAAGGATAATAGGCATAGCTGAATCGGAGAGTGTTCTTTCTGGCACAACAAACTTTACACTACCGGTATACAAAAATATCAGAAGATGTTGCTGTTTCTAACAGCATTTTCAACCATGGAAGGTTTGGATTGGGAAGAGTGATGTCTCCAAGTAACAACAACAACAAGTGTCAACAACAACACACGATGTCCTTAACAAGAGGACATGTTAAGGTATCTCTTTACAAACTCAAACTATCCTTGGTTCAAACTTCTGTCAGTGACAGTGAAATATTCATTTTTTTAGGTACAGTGTAAACATTTTCATTTCTTGTGCCGCAACACAACCCTTCTAGCACATGTCAGATAGTTAGACTTGCACCTCACCTGTGCCCTGCATGATCCTTGGAGCCCGAGTGAGGAGACTGTAGAAGGCTGACTCTATGAGCTGCAACAATGGCTGTCCTGTGTCAAGGAGAAAGACAGCAGACAGTTGTGTCAGGCCTTCATGAGCTGGTGTTGACACTTGTGTCATCTCATCTTCTGACAACACTATCAGACCACACACCAGTGAGCCCACGCTCCCTGACAAGTTCCTGCACAAGACATCATCAGTTTAGCAATACAGCAGACAGTTGTGTCAGGCCTTCATGAGCCGGTGTTGACACTTGTGTCATCTCATCTTCTGACAACACTATCAGACCACACACCAGTGAGCCCACACAAGATCCCTGACAAGTTCCTGCACAAGACATCATCAGTTTAGCAATACAGCAGACAGTTGTGTCAGGCCTTCATGAGCCGGTGTTGACACTTGTGTCATCTCATCTTCTGACAACACTATCAGACCACACACCAGTGAGCCCACACAAGATCCCTGACAAGTTCCTACACAAGACATCATCAGTTTAGCAATACAGCAAATAGTTAGCAAATAGCCCACCTCAAGCTGCAGGCTCACCTATAATTTCAAAAAAAGGCAGCTGTCCTAGGTAAGGCAAATTGTATCTCTATTGGCAATCTCCCAAAAGGTTATCTTTGAAAGGCAATAAGATCAATACTCATTTATTGTATTTTATTGTATAAAATAAGCTAAAGTAGTTTATTTTAAAATTTTTACTGTTTTGATAGTTTCAAAGATGAATAACAACACTATTTCATTCCGTTTTCTCATATTTCCTTACTTGGAGCAAACGGAGAGCAAGTTGTGCATAGCTAAGGCCAGGTCTCTCCGCACCTGCCAACTAGAGTGTGTCTGTGCGCGCAGAACTGCTTCTGTCACAGGTGTCAGTTTCTGCGCAGTCTCTGTTAGCCAGTCTGCGTGTGCATCTGATTGTGTGTCGTCCATCATCATCACAACTACTCTGCTCCAAAGTGTGATGTTGGCCTGAAATACGCAAACAGTTGAAATAAATATAATTTTCATCAGTGTTTTTTGGACCCTTGGCGTTCAAACTTGTACATTGAATTTGGTATGTGAGAGGTACTAAAAATTTATGATTGCACACACGAGGCAGGGTGAATTGGAATAAAGTATGAGGAGTGGCTTTCTCGTGGTGATCTGTGATCTTCTAAGTTGGAGGCCGAAATATTGTTGATCACTGAAGGTTTTTAGCTATGCAATATGTCATAATATGGTGGTTTAGAGCAAACATTCAACCATAGGTCCTTCTGTATGGATAACAAAAAAACAGAGTTTTTGACAAGAGAACCCACTCTGTTAAATACTTTAAAAAAACCTTAAATGCAAGCAAGCGTTTGATCTTGACTAGATTTTGTGTCATGCAGTACAGTATTAAGAGTCATTGAAGGCTAGCGGCCATCTTGGATGATTAAAACAGCTGCTTAAGAGTTATTTATCATCCAAAAATATTTTTTCAAACACCAAAGTGGTTATAATTTAAATATCTAGGACATTTTGGGATTAGAAATTTCCTATGTCTAACGGCCATCTTAGACCATCTTAGAGGCGGAGAAGGAGGCGACGATGAAGTTTCTGAAATGATTACTATTTTGAACAAAAATATTTTGTTACTTGAGCGCGGTTCCCACTTTTTTTGGAAACCTACCTTCATCTTGGATTTGATTTGTGATCCAGATATTAATAATTAAGATAAGATTAATATATTTGGAAACATAAAATCTATACTTATTTTTCATTTCACTCATCTTGTCTTAAAATACACATCCTACATTTACTGTTATTTGAAGTTTGATAATTTATTTTTGAAAAAAATACAACCGACTTCAAACGCTCTAAAAAGAATGAAATAATTTCAATAAAGTAAACTTTTGTATTAGGCAAGCTCACGTATTTTAAGTCGGCGCGGCTCTATGATGATTTTTGATACAAAATTGAAAGAGGGTGTCCATATTGCAGGTGACTATCTATAACTAAAGGTGTTAATCTGCATGTCTTTTTCATAGTTATGCGTTAAGTGTTATTTTATTACCGTAATCAGAGATCGGCATTATAGTGGTATTAACGAGTACCTTTAAAAAGATAATAACGCATTTAAATGTCTCTTACTTGGAAAATTAACGTTTTAATACTAAACTAGCTTCTTTTCCCTATCATAATATCAAACTAAATTATTTTCCTATTCATATAGAACATTTGTGTGTGTTATTTTCATAATGCATTTATTCTGAAGTAAACATAAAATACAAGAAAATATTTCTTTTAATATATAAACAAAACAGTTCAGTATGTTTTTTATGTATTTATGTTATCCAGCTACAATTTATTGATTTTCAAAATACACACACAATATTTAATTTCAATCATATTTGCAGTTTGAGCCGCGCCGACTTGAAATACGTGAGCTTGCCTAATACAAAAGTTTACTTTATTGAAATTATTTCATTCTTTTTAGAGCGTTTGAAGTCGGTTGTATTTTTTTCAAAAATAAATTATTTCATTATTTTTAGTGATTGTATAATTTTTTATGTATTAATTACTTGAGGTTTTTTGATAAGCAAAACTGTTTGAAACAATCAAAAGTTCCACAGAACAATCATTATTTTAAAACTGCTTGAGTCACCTGTTCAGGTTACATAATCAATGGGTATGAAAATAAACATTTTTAGATATTCCTTAAGAAAGAAAGAGTTGTCCATTATATTAGGTCTAATGAAAAACTAATTGTCTTTTCTAGATACATTGAAATGTCAGACATCATCGTTTCCAGCAATCGGTGTACTTCTACATTATAAAAAGAAATACAGTAACATCTCAAGCCTTTTGGAACAATATGAAAGTTATTCCTCAGCCACCAGCACTAAAAAATCTCTCAAAAGTGGAAAATTGGTCGTTAACACGTATAGTACCTTTGGAAAATATTATATGAAAGATTGGTTCAGCTAAAAGTGGTGTAAGTCATATAGGGGGTTTTGTTTGCTCAAGATATAGCCTAGTTGAAATTGCAAATCATCTTCCTCTAGGACTTTCCGAAGCAGGCATAACAGTATTGATATGATATAGTAACTGGGTAGAGAATATCAATAAATATTCCATATCTGCAAATGCATGCTTAGTAATTAAAATATTTAACACTTTTAAGACAATTGACGATTATGCACTGTCACACTTCTTAGGTCGTGTAAGGAATAATTGCATTTAATTTATATTTAGACCTGTTTTACGAATGCTTTGGTTTTCACAATACACCTTTATTTGTCAATATCATACAGCTATTCACTGAAACATATATGTTTTTGTAAGTCAGAATATTCAATACTAATAAAAACAGAATTACAGAATAACAGAATTACACAAATCAGGCCAAACGTTAAAATACATTTTTTATAGTAACCAAAACAAAATGCATTTTTCTCAATGTAATTCATTTAGGCTCCATGGCAAGAAACAGTTTATTGATCAATATGAAGCAACTGTATCATGAAGAATTGTCTGTAGCTTCATTTAAATGGTTTCAACTAACAGCTGTAGGAATGTTATTATTATTTATTGCCTTCTCTGCACAAATGTAAACAATCTGCACAAATGTAAACAAAATAAATGTTGAATATTTAAGGTTTTCAGAATTTTTCACCGAAACAAATATTATACTTAAACATAATATATAAGGTACCAAATAGAAACTCTCCTGGTTATTTTGGTGGTGGAACCACACTGATCGGTAATAGAATCACAGAGAAATTGGTGAACATACATAGAAAAAAAAAACATCGCCACAAACAAATTGAGAACCTCCTCCTTTTGTTGGTAGTGGGGAAGTCGGTTAAAAATGGACTCATGTCCAAAACATGTAGCTTCTACAATAAAAATATTTATATAATTATTATTTTAGGGTACTCAGTTGTGCTTTATTTACTACTATAATTTAATATATCAGCAGCCCTATTACGTGAACACGTAAGAAAACATCCTACACTGTATGGGTCATGCTTCAAAACAATAGCTGAAGGCTCGCCTGGTATTCACAAGGTTGCCATATCAATCCTAAAAAAGGCAGTAATTTGTTGATGGACGTAACTAGGCCCAGCTGTCCTAGGGACTTTTAATCTCACGACTCACTAAAGAAATAGCTGGTCCAACAAGGCTCAATATATCTCACTCTGTTATACTCTCATCTTGCAATCAAATTCATCCTAAAATTCTAACCCAGGTAGCTGTAGTTGTCTTAAAAGTAGCCAGTTTATAATGTTATTAACCTATTCAAGCTTAGCCTAACTGCTAATCCCTTCTTTCCATCTTGACAAAGGGGGTAATTTGAACAAACACCCAATTAATAATGATTTTTGTTCCTACCTTAATCGGAACATAACTGATCTTAGTCAGTAAGTTCACAAGGCAACTCAATCTGAATTCTTAAACTACGTCACAAGTTTGTGTGTTGGTATCTTAAGAGTCCTTGGAGGCTAGCGGCCATCTTGGATCATTTCAAACAGCAGCTGAAGAGTTAATTATCATCCAAAAATAGTTTTTCAAACACCAAAGTGATTATAATTTAAATATCTTGCATACTATGAGATAAAAAATTGTCTTTGTTGTTTTGAATTAATTTCCAAGCGGAGTCCATGGAAGCCAACGGACATCTTGGATTTGCCCGGCATAAGAGCAATGTTAATTTCGTTATTCTTAAACAGCCGCTGAAGAGTTTATTTACCATCTCAAAATATTTATTTTATTTACCACCTGATCTATTCATTTTTTATCATAGAAAAACCTTTTATAAAAATAATTTTTATGTTGGTTGTTCACCTTGTGTTTGGTTGAAACTGGTCCGATTTTAATAACGGATAGCTTAAATGAAAGTCAGTATTTCACTGAAGGTTCTTAGACCAAAATATATAGGATTATATTGGTGAAATACATCCTTCAATACCTTCAATTTGAGACCTCAATCATGAAAATCGGTCGGGTAGAAGAGCCAAACAAACTCGGAAAAGAAAAACTAAATTTTTTAATATATAAGATATGTGAAAATATTTACACAAAAGTACAGCAATGCGAATGATCAAAGTTCTCTACCAAGTAGCACCAATTGTGTACCATATCACTGCAGTGACTGATATACAGATAATGAGGAGGTATGTGATTTAAGACATAACATACTTACACATGTAACTTTATGGTTGAGCGTGGCAGGCTCGGAAGCTACTTGTAGACAGCAGGACATGATGCCTGGGAACATGAGTTTGACCACATCTCTCACTCTACTTTGCAACACTGCGTCGTCACAGCTGGCATCATTATGTACCCTGCAGAACACTTGGAGGCATTCTAGTGCTGCTACCCTGTGTAAACAAATACTTTAGGTTACAATTAAACAATTATTTAGCCTATGGACATAATTTCAGGAAGAAGACAAAATTAAATACCTCCACCGCAGCAAACCTGCAGACTAAGCAAATTTCCATCTACCTGGCTGGAATTCCAAAATAAATTATTCCCTTAAAATTGTCAGGTTTAATTCCTAGTACCTGGGGACCGAGCTTTGCTCGGGGGAAATCATTCCCCCACTCAGCGATGTCAGCCTTTACTACTTCCTTCACCATTTCCTACGTCATGGACATGTTTCCATCCCTTCTCATAGCAATTCAGTATTTCAATTGCAGATACATAAATCTAACTGTTACAATAGGTTTCCAGTTCCCAGACTCCACACTGCTAGCCTTAACTACTTCCTTCATCTCTTCCTAAATCGCGGACCTGTTTCCCCTCCCTTCCAATTGCATTTTAAGATTGCAAATACCTTATTCTAATCCTCATAAACAGTTCCCACACTCCGAACTGCTCGCCTTGACTACTTCCTTCACCACTTCCTACGTCTCTGACCTGTTTTCCTCCCTTCCCATAGCATTTTAAGATTGTAGATACCTTAATCTAATCGTCATTAACAGTTCCCACACTCCGGACTGCTCACCTTTACTACAGTATTTCCTTTACCACTTCCTACGTCAAGGACCGGTTTCCTTACCTTCCCATAGCATTTTAGGATTGCAGATAACTTACCATCCTTATGAAACAGCTGAAGCCACTTTTATTGTTAGTTCTGTATGGTTTTCTATAGATGTCGTGTTTTGTTCACAATTTGTTTTTATTATTTTAGGGTTAGTTTCTCATTATTTGTGTCTCACTGTTTGGCTAACGATAGTACTATAGTAATATAGTACGGTAATATAGTGAACGAGTTATCGTTTATGATTAAATAGTATTATTTGGTTAAACGAGGTTTTAAATTACTGAAATAACAAGAAACAAATTGTAAACAAAGCACGACATCTACAGAAAACCGGACAGAACTAACAATAAAATTGGCTTCAGCTGTTCCATAAGGATGGGAAATCTACCTTAATCTAATTGTCATAACAGATCCCACACTCCGCACTGCTCAGTTAGCCTTTACTACAATGTATCGAGTAAGCTTCAGTATAATCATTGCTCAATAGTAACAAGTGACGTTTTTGCTTTTGTACTGTATTTAGTAATTTCTAGTATACTGTGTGTAGATGCCTTCATGAACACATGTGTTAGAACTTACAAGTCTTTTGTTTACTTTTTCCTAGTTATTTAATTCAGCCAAGATGGTTACTTAGCAACCCATAAGACTAATGTTAAAAAAATGTGACTTTCAGTTTCATTTTTCTCCGTAGTTAGATTTTTGTTGGCAGTTCTAACTGCAGTAAACTCGTTTTTAGGCCAAAAATTAACCATTTACAAGATTTGAAGAAAATCGTCGGAGCCGTTTTCGAGATCTTTCTGCAAGCAAGCAAGCATACAAGCAAACATTGCTCGTATTATAGTATAGGATTCAAAAATCATAATTTTAATGAGTTTTAGGTTTGCTGCTACAGGGAAGACAAAAGGTGTGGTTTTTATTGAAATATTGATATCTTAGTATGAAGTACCTAAACAAATTTTACAAATTTCATTAAAATATGTCCATACACAAGCAAGCTATAAAAGTTTTATTATCTCCATAAGAATAACATGACTATTTAAAATTAATGTACTTTTTTGGAACTTTTTCTGTAACCCTTAGGCATAGGCCTACAACAACACTTAAATATAGGTACTAAATTATTTGTGTTTTTTTTTTAGCTCTACAAAGTTTTTTGGAAAGGAATTGCAAAATTTAACTTTTTAGGGTGAAACATTGGGAAAACCACATTTTTACCCCATAAACCCCTGTTCTCATAGTCCGACCATTCTGGTTCGCAAACTTGTTAGAAAAAATGTAGGTTTACACGTTTATACCAAATTTCATAAAAAACACATCATTTTTGCTCCAGTTATTGTGCTAAAAGACACATAATTATGAATTTGAAGGAATGGTGTTTTTAGCTTCTGAGGACCTCAAAATGAAAAAGCGAATTGGCCCTGGGTCCAGGTCTTACCATGAAACCTAAGGTAGGCTAATAGCTTATACCCTATAATGGAAAACTTGCTAAAATTATAATGTTTTTGACGTTTTTGTATGTGTTTAAGTAATGGTTTTCTCTTGCCAAAATTGTCACACCATAATTTATCCATGTAACTCAGGCTAAAACGAAATAAGGGGGTTTGAGAACAAGGAAGATCATAAGTTAGTTAATGTATTTAGATTATTGTCTCAGAATATTAAATACAATTCTAACAAATCTATCAGTCAACGACATAATTACGACTCAAAACTCATAACATATTTTGGGGCATAGTTTATAATTTCAAAAAATTTCACTCATATAAAACAATGATAGTCAATTTATATAAAGCGGAGATATTACATAAAAAATAGGCTACCAAAAATCTTTTAGAGTACTTGCTGAACACCAAAAACTCCTGGAAGACGGAATCTACATTTATTTGAGCAAGCAGAATCCGGACCTGAACATCTGCTAATGACGGAAATACAAAATAAAAACATATACATTTTATATTTGAGTGCCACCTACCTTAGATTGATACATTTTTCATTTCTTGCCAACTGCACTAGCATGTAGATAACTGGACTAATCTTAGGAAATTTTTCTTTACAATACACGTCGTGCAAAACTGAACTTGTAACAGACTTCCATAGCTGTGTCAGGCACAAGGCAACACTCAACTTCAATTCCTCCGAAACTTCAGCAACTAGAAATATCATTTACTATGTAAGACTAATGCTTTATTTAGTAGGCCTAACTTATATGACAAAAAAAATATAGGCTACTTTGCTACTAGTCATTGAAAAGATGGCAAAAGGATGTACATGGTGAATTATGTTTAACATAAAATAATCATAAATTGTAATTCATTTTAAATAACCAAACAAAACTGTAAAATCAAAACACAATGATTGTCATAAAATATGTATCAGCTGATAACATTGTGTAAATGCATATTCAAAGGATACTAAGCTAAATACTTGATTCAATAAGGGGTTTCTCGGTAACACCCCTTTTTCATCCGTCCTACTTAACCGGTCTAAAAGAAGGGTGAATGGTAACTAAACACGTAATTTGTTTCGGGCATCGCTCCCTCTAGCCTTTGGTTTGTTCCTAGACGATACTTTGAGATGTCCTTTTCTATATAACGGTTTTTTTATTTATTTTATTTACAAATTCCAACACCAGGGCCATTTAGATAAAGATTTACCAAAACAGTTCTACTGACTAACAACAAATAACAATGTAGCCTAACACAAAAATATAATGTAAATACAAAAAAATTTACAAGTAATAAATAAAAAAATCAATCAATGTTAAGTTTAAATTTGTATGCTTTACTAGCTGTAACCCGCGGGCTTTGCCCCGTTTAACTTCTTAATTTTCAAGATGATCTCGTTCGCATGGCTCAATCACGTCCTGGTTGAAGTTCGTTCGCTACGCTCACTCGAGTTATAAGAAGTACCAGCAGCAAAGCCCGGCTTTGCCTGGGTAAAATTATACAATGTAGGCTACAATAAGTGTTTAAAAATTTATTACCTACAATTTTACCGTTTTTATAGATGTGAACATATCTTGGAACTATTTAATCTAGAAATATGTTAAATATTCTTTGTAGCACACGTTTCCTTAAATTGCAACTAAAATATCAACAGCAATTTAACTATCCAGCTGATCGGGTGGCGGCGTCCTGTAATCCAGCTAATAGGAGGTCACGAATTGTGGATATTTATAGGGATGCACTGTGGATGCGATGCTTTCTGGTGTGGATTAACGTCTGCACTAGTGAGTACTACGGATATCCGCAGTGCTATCCTGATAATTAGACCAATTCATAAATTACAAGGAAAAATTTGGTTCGGATTCCACTATAAACTGTAGATCCCTTAGTTGCCATTAGCTGTATGGGCTATTAATTAACAGCTGTGTCTAAGGAACATGTCGGACCTAAGGAGGATTGTCGGTCACTAACAAGACTACAAGATTGCGCCACTCATCCTACACTCATATTTGGGTTAAAATACGCACATAGTGGCGTCCCCATCTTAAATAATTGATAATTGATTGATTGATTGATAATTGGTCATAATGTAAACAAAATAAATATGTTCTTCATATGGATAACATGGGAACTTTAAAAGCCACTGGGACTAATAATTATTAATAATAATAAAAGATTATAAATAGTTTCGGGCAAAATAAATATTTTGCTGGCAAAGTGGTTATAGCTTAGTCTCTAAATCTTGGTGCAATAAGGATGGATTAAATTTCTGACATATCTTGAAAAGTTAACGGGTTTTTAACAGTTAAGTTTGAAAGAGATTGTGATTATTTCATTCAAAATTCCATAAGCATAGATCTGCAAAAGATGCATACACAAGTAGGCTATTGAAATTATAAAGTTACCTTTAGTTTGGTCACTGGAAGCTATTTGTTTGAAGAGTAAAATGCTGATCCTTAGAAGAACGTCAACTGAATCAATGTCAGATCGTATAAGTACATCCTTACGCAGCAAGTCTATTAGCAACTGTTTTTGCTGATTACTGAAAATATGTAAAACCCATGGTTTAGAAAATAAAACACAATCCTAACTTAAAACTTACTTACAAGACCATATGTTTGTTATAACATGAAAGAACACATCCGGTCATTCAAATTCAAAATTAAAATATATGTATTTATGGTAATACAACAGCTTGGCCTCGCCAAGTTCACAAAACTTGTCGGCGCGGTCCAATTGGGTTCAAAAAGCAACAAACTAAATTTACATTTTTTTCTCTTTCTTAAAAAAAAAAAAAACATCTCTAGCACTACTACTAACTGACTAAAATGGCGGGTTCGGGTTGTGTCAGGCACCTGTCTATACAGAATAGCCTAATTAATTTGCAGCAGAAGCACAAAATTCTAAACTTACGTAGTTTGAAAAACTGCTATCATCTATCTGACTTATAATCTATGCATTATATTCCGTCGTCTTTGTTTTCCTGGTTTTGCACATGTTGACTATTATATGCATTTTAACCTTTTTTAATCGTTTTAAATTTATATTAAGGTAAAAAAAATAAAACGAACGGTTAAATGAATAAATACTGGTAGGCCTATAGTTTATAAAAATTAGCCTACCTGAGAAATATTTATAACATTTATAATTTTAACCTTTTTTAAGATTTACTTGGTCCATTATACGTAAAAATATACATAAAACTAATACTAACTAAGTTATGTAGGGACAAAGAATATTTCATTTGTATGCTGATAAGACAACTCGGAATAATGTAACTTTAACTTATAACTAAATCACCACAAAAGATTAATAAACTTTCAATAACGTCTACGTTATAGAACACATGTAAGCTTATGGTCACTTTGATCGACAGCAGAATATCGGTATAGAACACCTAAACAACAAATCTGACTGACCGGAAAAACAAAAAAACTTTCACACTAAGTTAGGCATTCCTCAGGGCAAAACTTATCGATATTCTACCGGAGGGTCAGGGAGGAAGGTATTGTGAACGGAAAGCACAAAAACTAGTGATGCACGATTGCGAGATGTTACACTCGAAACGTTTCATTGGTTTTAACCTCTTGAGACGTTTCGATTGTAATTTTGCTTAGCAAGAGGTTCTTACCAAGAGGTTATTATTGAGATGTTCATGACAATTGTTGCGTTTCAGCACCGCTTCTCTCCTTTCTCGCATTCGTCTCGTCTAGAGAACCGAGAGACAAGAAGTCCTTACCGAGAGCCTTTTCTACGAGATGTTCATGGCGATTATTTTGTTAAGTGCGGCATCGTCATTTATTATCATCTAATTTCTATTGCATCTGCTGGGGATTTACCCCCAATAAAAGAGGTATAAGTTATTGTATATCTTACTGTAGGCTACTTCAATAGCAAGGAAGATTTATGGATATATCACTTACTTTATCTACGGAACTTAATACCACCCAATAAAAACTATTGACAAGACGATATATTTTACAAACAAAATGTTTGTATGGTAGCCTATTTAAATCTAAATGTTTGTAACGATACAGAAGGTTCTTATAAATGTTTAGTTAACAGTATTATTTACCACCCATTACTTTAAAACAATTTTCTATTTCTGTTGTCATGAATGAGTGACGAAAGTGCTTATTCATATGTCAGCAGTATATGTTGTGCATAATAGTCTACTATTCTATAAGAATCTAGAAAAAGAACAAACTTTCCCCATAACAAATCTCCAGAAATTTTGACAGATCCAAACAGACGTAAAGGCTTAACGAATGCAACAATCGAGAGAAACATCTTGATTGTACAAACCTCTCGCTAAGCAATCGAAACAATCGATAAGCGGAACATCTCAAGAAGGAACATTTCGATTGTTCAAACATCTCACAATTGCGCATTACTAACAAAAACTAATCAGTGTTGCCAATATAAGAGCCTATTTAATAAACGGTCGGTTTGTCCCGTATTCAATGTGGCCGGCCTATCGTAAATGTATTTGTAACTTTTGTTTTTTAAATGTGTAAACTTTATGTGTCGTCGACCTGCATGTATACATTGATGAAGACTCACGTCGGATATTTGACCTACCTATTCAATATGATGTTTTAAATAAGGATTTGATAATGGGTCTTTGTACCCGAAACTAGTCATCCATAGACAAGTTAAGACTGAAGACGGAACAAGGTACGTAACCTATTATAGGCCTATATTCGAATATCAGTCTTGGTGGCAAAGATGTTTAAAATATAAGAGCGTACAAATTCCCATTGGTCAGATAAACATCTACACTTGGAATGTAGATATTTACATGAAACTTGGAACGAAGGTATATAAACATGTATTCTACTTGTATGTACTTTATGGTGTTTAAGCTAGGCTAGCTAATTTGGACTTAGGTCCATCATTAAGTTAATCCTTATCATTACTCTCATTTTACGTTTAGGTATATACTTGTTCTAGGCCCTACACTTAAAATATTTTACTTAAGTTACCTAGAAGATCGAAGAATTTGTAATTCAATGGGAAAACAAATGTAGCTCTGAAACGTTTGTATTGCTTTGGAAGGCAGAGTTTCTAGAACATAAGTAAAGTTGCTGACCGACTTATCATTAATATTTATTATTAATTGATCACAAACTGGTTTCAAAGCTGTAAATATGGCATTGTTGATGTTATCATCATCACTCGACCTTTGATTTAATGCCATTTGCACTTCTTCCTGTACAAGACGTGTTTCCGCCAATTTCATTATTACATTTCCAAGCAGTACTAATTAATTAAGAGTAGAAGTAGGTATTACACTAAATTATGTTAACAATTTCCATTGTGGATATGCTAAATGCTAATGCTAAACATTAAACATAACCTAAACATATTTTTTTATTATTTATTTTGAACAGCTTTAAAATGTCAAAATGATATTCTTTTCTTTATTGACTTTTTTTCTTATCCTTAAATCTTGATCTGGTTTGTTTCATGTGACTATGTAGCGTACTTTTAAACATGACGTCTATCTCAAAGATTAAGTTACTGGTTTTAAATAAATTTTTAATACTGCAAGCAGTGGACTTAATCATACAGTCTTTAATTACTTAATTATAATTATAAATATATAAGTATGATTAATTAAAGGTCTCGGTGATTATAACTCGTAAGTTAATTTTATTTATTTTTTTTTATACGCCAGAGCCATTTCACAAGAGAGTCACGAGAGAAATGTTTTAGTGGATGTGCCGGGGATTAGATTGAATCCGTCCCTCCCGCACCGAAGTCCGAGACGCTAACCACTAGGCTAGCAACACAACCTATTAGTTTATTAGTTTATTATAATTTATATAATTATATAATTTATTAGTTTTATAGTGTATATAATTTATTAGTTTAATATCATCGTATATTATATTATTATGACATAATCAGACCAGCACTGGCAGTACATGTAAATGTCTATACTCGGTTCAATAAATTAGTAATTGAGTTACTCTATCAATTAAGATGGGGACCCCACATAGGTGCATATTTGAACTCAAATATGACTTAAGTAGGTACAACGAGGCAATCTGTAACTGACTAAAGATCAGCTGTTTCATCAGCTAGCTATCCTCATACATGTAATACTTGAAGTTTCCGTCCGTAGTCCAGGGCAGGAATTGGACAGGTCAATAGGTTAGTATAGTCAATGGTTAAGGTCTAATAATAATAAAAAATAACTTACTGTATAGTGAGAAAATCACATCCTAGGCCAAAGGGCTCTGTTTTGTGAAATTTAGAAATTCTTCCACATCATAAAAACTATTTTTTGTCAGGAAAGATTCGATTTCTGTTTTGAATTTTGAGATTTTTTTAATGTTTTGAAGTTGTTTTGGCTGTGCCTGAAAAATTTTTAAACCGGAATAATGAGGTTTTTGTTCAAAAAATTTTAGTCTGTGTTGTTGAGCATGGATTCCTTTGTTTCTAGTGTTGTAATTTAATTTAAATTTAATTGTAATTAAATGTTAATTAATGCTGTCATTCCTCATTATTTAAAGCCCAATGATCATGAACAGCTTGGTCCAGTTTCGAACGATCAAAAGCTACTGGCTTGTGTCTAAAAACTCTTGTTAAGGTCGATTCACACATATCAGTTCAGTCACAGTTCCGTTACAGTCCAGTTACAGTCCAGTCTCAGTTGCATCCGCAATTTCTCAGTCAACTGTCCGGTAGTTGGTATCAGTCAGTCTTCCGTCTCTAAAATTTCCAGTAATTTACTGACAAAATTTTTAAATTATAAACCTATGTTCTATCAAATTTTCACTGTCCATCTTGTTAATTGTTACAAACAGTATATAAACACAATCATTTAAACAACAAAAACACTATTTTCTGACCTCAAACAGGTCCGTCAGGCGTCCGAATAATCCAAATATATCGGTGGAAAGAAATCTGAAATTGACTGACGGATGCCGGCAGAGCCACACACTGGCGGAACTGCGACCGATAAGTGTAGATAGCACAATAGAAAATCCATTAAAGAATATTTTTGTTAACTGAGACGTTCCTGAGTGACTGGACTGCAACGTGCCGTAACTGATGTGTGTGAATCGAACTTTTTAGTTCGTAAGCTCTAATGACGTCAGAAGGCATAATCATGTAAATTATTATTATTATTATTGTTGATTGGGACTCCCTATTTTGTTGACCCGGGTCAACAAATTCAATATATTAAGAAAAAAAACCACTTGGAATGTAGATATTTACATGAAACTTGGAACGAAGGTATATAAACATGTATTCTACTCGTATGTAAAATTTAGTAACGATTAAAAAATATTTATCTATTTTATAAACTAAAAACCGCCCAAAATAGCTAATTTTATTTTGTTGACCCGGGTCAATCGACTAAAAAGGGTACTTATAATTAAACTATATACATGAAACTTGGAACTAAGGTATATCCACATGTATTCTATACGTATGTAAAATTTGGTAACGATTAAAAAATAGTTACCTATTTTATTAACAGAAAACTGCCGTAAAAGCTAATTTCATTTTGTTGACCCGGGCCAATCGCCAATAAAAGGTACTTATAAATAAACTATATACATGAAACTTGGAACGAAAGTATATAAACATAAATTCTACACGTATGTAAAATTTGGTAACAATTAAAAAATAGTTACCTATTTTATTAATAGAAAACTGCCGTAAAAGCCAATTTTATTTTGTTGACCCGGTTCAATCGCCAATAAAGGGTACTTATAATCGAACTATATACATGAAACTTGGAACGAAGGTATATCTACATGTATTCTACACGTATGTAAAATTTGGTAACAATTAATAAATATTTACCTTTTTTATTAACAAAAAACCACCAAAAATATTAAATTTTATTTTGTTGACCCGGAGTCAATTGCCTTAAAAAGGTAACGTACTTAGAATTAAACTATATACATGAACCTTGGAACGAAGATATATTTATTTGTATTCTACACGTATGTAAAATTTGGTAACGATTAAAAAATAGTTACCTATTTTATTAACAGAAAACTGCCGTAAAAGCTAATTTCATTTTGTTGACCCGGGTCAATCGCCAATAAAAGGTACTTATAAATAAACTATATACACGAAACATGAAACGAAGGTATATAAACATGAATTCTACATGTATGTAAAATTTGGTAACAATTAAAAAATAGTTACCTATTTTATTAACAGAAAACTGCCGTAAAATCTAATTTCATTTTGCCGACCCGGGTCAATCGCCAATAAAAGGTACTTCTAATTAAACTATATACACGAAACTTGGAACGAAGGTATATCTAGATGTATTCTACACGTATGTAACATTTGGTGACGATAACAAATTATTTACCTATTTCATTAACTAAAAACCGCCCAAAATAGCTAATTTTATTTTGTTGACCCGGGTCAATCGCCTAAAAAAAGGTACTTAGAATTAAACTATATACATGAAACTTGGAACTAAGGTATATCCACATATATTCTATACGTATGTAAAATTTGGTAACGATTAAAAAATATTTACCTATTTTATTAACAAAAAACTGCCGTAAAAAGCTAATTTCATTTTGTTGACCCGGGTCAATCACCAATAAAAGGTACTTAGAATTAAACTATATACATGAAACTTGGAAAGAAGGTATATCTACTTGTATTCTACACGTATGTAAACAAAATGAAATTCTAAGTACCTTTTATTTGTGATTGACCCGGGTCAACAAAATGAAATTAGCTTTTTACGGCAGTTTTTTGTTAATAAAATAGGTAAATAATTTTTTATCGTTACCAAATGTTACATACGTGTAGAATACATGTAGATATACCTTCTTTCCAAGATTCATGTATATAGTTTAATTCTAAGTACCTTTTATTGGTGATTGACCCGGGTCAACAAAATAAAATTATCTTTTTACTGCAGTTTTTTGTTAATAAAATAGGTAAATAATTTTTTTATCGTTACCAAATGTTACATACGTGTAGAATACATGTAGATATACCTTCTTTCCAAGTTTCATGTATATAGTTTAATTCTAAGTACCTTTTATTGGTGATTGACCCGGGTCAACAAAATGAAATTACCTTTTTACGGCAGTTTTTTGTTAATAAAATAGGTAAATATTTTTTAATCGTTACCAAATTTAACATACGTGTAGAATACATGTGGATATACCTTCGTTCCATGTTTTTTGTATATAGTTTAATTCTAAGTACTATTTTTAGGCGATTGACCCGGGTCAACAAAATAAAATGAGCTATTTTGGGCGGTTTTTAGTTAATAAAATAGATAAATATTTTTTTATCTTTACCAAATTTTACATACGAGTAGAATACATGTGGATATACCTTCGTTCCAAGTTTCATGTAAATATCTACATCCCAAGTGGTTTTTTTTTTCTAAATATATTGAATTTGATTTATTATTTTCCATAATTTGAGTTTCAGCACAGCCACCTGTATTAGAGGAGGTGGCTGTGGTTTCAGCCTAACCGGGACTATAGATTAAAAGAGTAAAAAGACATCTCTCCTCCTTTAATCTATGCCACAACCAGTTCCAAGCATAGATCTCTATTATATAGTTGTATTATATAGAGATCTATGGTTCCAAGTGTCAACGCTGTCGCGTTGTGGGGTCGGCGGGATTTCGCCAATCCACTGTCACTGAGTGTCACTGTCAGTTCTGAGTTCAGTGTCAATGTTCAGTCAGCTGTCAGCTCCAGCTGATTTCAAATTTCAATAATTTGATCGGACATTGGAGTTCGAAGTTAGATAAAAAAGAACCTTTATTTGTTTTGTTTTTCTTATGAATGTTATTTGTTCGTTAACCTGTTTCAAACGAAAATTGTAAACATAAACTGAATTCTATCGATTTAGCTTATTACTGTAATCACTTCCGGTTGTATATATTTTCTATAATAAAGCTAAACTGATTTGATTCACGGGTGTTTATCAATATATGATTGATTCATTGATATGATAAGAACAAATCATTTTTAATTTTAGTGCTAACTTCCCCTTGTTTTTCTCAGTTTAACTCTACCTTGACCTAGTTCCGTCAATCTCTTCAAAGTGTTTTATATTAGCCATACAAATATTTCTACATTTTTGCAAGCAACTGTAAGAACCATGTTTACAAACAAAGGGTTTATAGGTAAGGATCCAATTTTAGGTTAATCCTAGGATAATACTTACCAATGGAGATGAGTGTAGGATGAGTGTTGCGATCTTGTAGTCTTGTTAAGCCTCGTCCACACATGGTGATATGCTCTGGAAACATTATCGGTAGACTGTCTCGTAGTGATGTTGCCATTTGTCCAGCGATGTCTCCAGATAACTTAGTCGGCCAACTGTTTGCTGACTGTCCGCTGACAAACTTCCGTGTTTCTGAGACAAAATACATTGTTTTCAAGATAGCCTACGAAATTTGTGTAGGAGACTGGATACAACCTGGAGGTGTTAAACATTCAGTCCATTTAGTTGAACTGCAATGCGGTAATATTACAATTTTAGGGCGGTGCTAAAAGAGCTAAATTTAGTAGCCTACCTTTAAAGCTTTGGAATTTTATTTTTCATTGATTTATATTATTAACTATATATGATATTTTATTGAATTATTCATCTCTTCAAGCTTGAAATCTTAGGCCAACAAAGCCTAGCAAAACCTCAAAATCTCTAGGAGTCAGCCTAGTTAAGTTCCTAAATCCTGCACCATCTTCTAATCGGAGATCCGAAAGAAGATTGTGACCATAGTAAGCTAACCTTGCTCGAGAAAATGTCGGGTTTATCATTGTCTCTTCCTCGGTTCATTAAACTTAGCCCCATGGTTCAGAAATATGAAGCCCACACAGGATATAATCATGTCCTCCTTGGTCGCCATACCATCCTGGCTGGCTTGTGTGGACGCAAAACACATAAGAAACTTGTAGGCCTATTTGAAACTGCGTTGACAGACTGTTGGCAGACGTTTGGCCAACTCTCTTTGAGTGTCCGCCGACAGTCTCCCTTAATTGTGGAATAGGCTTTACTGACTAAGGCCGACAAGTTCCTTATGTGAGGACTGTTAATTAAAAGCCCATCCAGTCAATGGCAACTAACAGCTACAGTTTATAGTGGAATCCAAACCACATTTAGCCTAGTAATTTACGAATTAATCTAATTATCAGGATTAATTATGTAATAATTACAACTTACGTCAATCAATCCTGTTATATTTATGGAGGATGCACGTTTAGACCTTTATTTAGGTCATCTTCTGCTCCGCTGTTACCAACCACTATTGCTATCAAGTCAGTGCCACCGCAGTCTCGAGCCGGTTCAGCCGTGTGCATGGTGATAGTTTTATTTAAATGTTTTTGTCAGTGTCGTGTTTTTATGTTTACGTAGTCAGACTATGTTCTTCAGCAAAACATATTTTCGCGGTTGCTACACCAACAATGCAACTAAGTATGGAATAACCTAGTGCAACAGCGGAGCAGAAGATGACCTAAAGTTCGAAACATGCGTCCTCCATAAATATAATAGGATTGATTGACGTAAGTTGTAATTATTAATTTAAACATCAATCCGTTTGCCACAAATCAATCATGATCAATTATTTAAGATGGGGATGCTACTATGTGTGTATTTTAACACAAATATGAGTGTAGGATGAGTAGGGCCGTCCCTAGGGTTGGCGGCGCCCGGAGCAAACAAGGTTGTGGCGCCCCCTCCCCCCCCCCCCCCAGTAATAATATAGTAATACCAGAAACAAAAGAACCCTCGGCCGTTTCGAGCCGCGCAGGTTTCAATGGTACGGCCCACCTACCTGCGCGAACCACGTGATCTTTTCGTTTCTGCGCAGGTTGTTTTGTTCGTGGTATATCTATAGTCGCATTCGCATATTTTTAATACACTTTTTAATTACACTATTTTAATACACTATTTTTAATATACTATGTTGATACAAATTGCCACTGTGCGGCGCCCCCTCAACCACGGCGCCCTTCGGACAGCCCTGAGGATGAGTGGCGCGATCTTGTAGTCATGTTATGACTAAGGCTGACATGTTCCTTAGACACAGCTGTTAATTAATAGCCCATACAGCCAATAGTAACTAAGGGACCTACAGTTTATAGTGGAATCCGAACCACATTTAGCCTCGTAATTCACGAATTGGATACTCACTAGTGCGGACATTACTCCACACCAGGGAGTATCACATCCACAGATCATGCCTATAAATATCAGGTTTAATATCGGGTTGTTTTATTTTTATCTTATGAAAATAGGTTTTTATGATAAGTTGTGACTGCATTGTATTGCCAATGTTTACAATCCTTATACGTAGAAAGGTTGGTTCTTGGTTAGACTAGTTTTGGTTATCTCGGTCAAATAAGTTAGGTTCTTGAATGTTCGATAATAGGCTTTAAAAAATTGAGTCTTATGTCAGTTTCACTATAACTTATATTGAAAGTAAAAAATTTTTCTGTGTGACGCTTAGAGTCAGACCACTTTTATCTCTAAACTGGACTACAAGTTAGTTGGAGGAGTATTGTCCTCAGTATTCGTGGGATTTTACCCTCATATAAGAAATGGGATTCTTAGACCATTTGTGGGATGCAGGGTAATTGGAATTGAACGGGAAGTACAATGAGGATGAAAAGCATTTTCTCAACCCGGTAATCACCACTTTTTTGGACTTACCATTGTACCCTCCAGATTTCCCTTGTAAAAAGATACCTATGGTACAACAATCCTTCAGACTAAGCAAATGTCCATTTACCTGGCTGGATTCTCACAAAAATATTCCCTTAAAATTGTCAGAGGCTATTTAATTAGCTTAGGCTAACATTAATTTCAATGAGTACCTGATTACCTGATTACCTTCTTCTTAGCCTGAGACCAGTAACACACTGGATAAGCTGCGTCCAAAATGATTTATATAGGCTATACATATTTACAAGGGCTATTTACAGAACTTCCAAGATGGCGTGGACAATGGTCTACTGTCATCAAAGCTTGCTTCGAAAAACTCTTTCAAGCTGTAGTAGGGTTGCACTCTCATGAGGCTCTTAAGATTTGAGGCAAACTTGTTACCCTCAAGCTGCTTGATTCCGACAGGGAGATTATTGTAGAGCTTTAGGGCCATAACTGGAAAAGCATCCCTGGTTTTGCTTAGCCAGCAGAAAGGAATGTAGATTTTGGTTTTGCACCTAGTATTGTGGCTGTGCACATTCCTTTTGTTGAATTTCCCCAGGTTATCATGGACATATTTTGCAGATGAGAGCATGTAACTACTGTAGACAGTCGGTATGCCCGTCCTTATAAAAAGCGGCCTACAGTGTTCACGCCTCCTACTACTCGTGATGACTCGCAAAGCCTTCTTTTGCTGCCGTAGGATTTTCAGGCAGTCAGGTGCATGGCCCCATAGCTGTAGACCATACGAGATGTGGCTATGGAACAAGGCATGATATACCACTATCAAGTAGGATTTGGGGACTAGTTTGGTGAGTTTCCGGAGCAGATAGGTGACCCTCGCTAACCTCTTGCAAATGTTATCAATGTGGTCTCCCCAAGTTAACTTAGAATCGAGAGTAAATCCAAGCAGTGACATATTTATCCAAACCTGCTCAAGCGATGGCGACAGAGAGCAGATCAGTTTCTGTGTCTTATTTTCATTAAGTTTTAGCCTATTATGACTGAACCACTCTCTAGCAGTCGTACTTAGGTTTGATGCTATAGGGAAGGTAATTATGTAATTCATTTTCTTAAATTGATAGACGATAGCTTAATATGAAATAAATAAATTATTTTCCTATTCCAGACATAGCTGTAAACCTAACGGACTCCATGTACAGAGGTATCTACAATGAATCTCAGAAACACCAGCCTGACTTACCTAATGTATTGGGACGTGCATGGGCTCAAGGACTTGATAAAATAATCATTACTGGAACTGGTCTCAAGGAGAGTAAAGAAGCTCTAGCTATAACCAGGACGGATGGTAACCCATTTAGATTTTCACATTCTAATTGAACAGAACGCAATATAGCTTGCAAAGTGCAAGATTTTATGTTTCATGTTTTTTTATGCCTTTTTCAAAGTCATGTTTACTCAGTTATACAGGTAGGGCCTGGTTGGATTAGCAAAAAGGTCAGATTTCACAGGTAATGTTATACCATTTTTAAAAGTAAAATAAATATTTTTACTTTGTAAACTACAAAAATACAGGTTTAACAATTAAAACATTACATAATAATTATATTAAACTACTGTAATATTACGGTATTATGATAGTTTATGATACTTAGGTAGGAAGATTGTAATGCTTTTTCTCTCTGACCGATTACGTTGATTGGCTGTCAAACACTGCACTTAAGTAAAACTTCTGTGTGCAATTTTTTCCAGCTGATTTGACATATATATTCAAGCATTGAGACTGTGAGATGTGTGAGTTAGCATGGAGAACAAACGTTCATAAAAAAATATTTCAAACGTTCTCATGCCTTTCATAAATAGCACATCTCAGGGCACTCCAATGGTCTACATAAAAGATTGGATAGTTGAAAATCTACTATATTGCAGTATGATAGCTAAAACACCTTTCACAACTGAAATAATCACTTTAAGACTGGATACAAAGTCCCCTCATGACAAGGTCACAAAACCTTTTAAAACACACAAAAAAGTTCTGGTCACAAAATGTTGAGTAACTTTTCTTTAACCCTGTACTTGGAGTCTTTTTATGTAAGCTATATATATAGCCCCTTGGCTTACCATGAAATACTTCCAACTGCTATCAAATGGCTGGTCGGTTTAAGCAAAATCTGCATTAACACATTCGCTGCGGGCCACTCACCAGTGAGTGCTCTAGTTCCTTTCTGCCACGCTGAACGCTCATTGGTGAGTGCCAGAATCGCCTACGTTCAATTAAATTTCTGCGCAGTAGCACACTGGGAAGAACGGGTCTATTATGTCCTTTAGCTAGGAATGGGTGCTTTATTGTGGTGTAGGTTGGAACTTGGTAAGCTTAGAAATCAAATGTTGTCTCTTCTTTCTCCGGCCAGTGGGACCAGCTAGTTTTAGACATTGCTGCTATCTGTGAGTGTTTTAGCAAACTACGTCGACTCTCGTCGTATCGCAGCACATCACCGCACGTAATTATTCATTACCAAAATATTTGTAAGCCAAATGGGTTCGCTCGACGCTGCGCCGCACCGGGACTACGTCTGTCATTGGTGGGCAGCAGCGAACGTGTTAAAGGGTTTACTGTACATGCAAAACAACTTTATGCATTAAGTCATGAACTGTAGGCCTTAACTATTTTCAGGCTGGTCTTGTGGATAGAGAGCGGGATTTCTGCCCTGGAGACCCAAGTACTGTTTCTGCCAACTGTGTGATAAAATGGTAACAGAGTGGTTCACCTTAGCTTTAGGTCTACTGAACCTATCTATAAAATAATTGGCCTTTCAATGAGAACTTGTACTGTCAACCTCCCAGTATTAAAAGCCACATAATGATTTTTGGGAGGTTATTCACAGGTGACTCATATTGCAGAAAGATTGTTCAGCACAGTCGGCTGTCATCCAACTCAGTGTGGAGAGTTTGATAAGGAGGGTAAAGACAAATACCTTCAGCAGCTTAGCGACCTCATAGAGAACAACAAGGATAAAGTGGTTGCCGTAGGGGAGTGTGGTTTGGACTACGATAGGTTGAAATTCTGCGATAAGGATATTCAGCTCAAGTAAATATTTAACCTTTACTTTAATACTTGACCTAAGTAACATAGAGTATTGTATACCTATTGACTATAGATACTATAAGACTATAGGATACAGAAGTCAAAGATATCACATACATATATCCTCTTCCACTCCCATTACAACTGAGTGGGTGTTAACGTTAATTAGGTATTTTCTTCTTCTTCTATCCCTCCAAAGTTTGTCTTTTTCCACCATCTGCCTTTTCACTCTTCTACAGACCTCATCACCTATGAATTCTCTCATCCTTTTCTGCTACAGATAGATTTTTAACCCTTCCAGGGCTAAATTAAATGAAAGGCCGAAGCTTAATTTTTTTTTTTTTATTAAAAACTAAAGTGGTTGTGTTTTGTATTTATTTCACTTTAAATAATTCATGGATCATAAAAAGATTTTCCTTTGGGCGGAACTAAATTTGTACAAAAGTTATGAAGAAAATAAAATTTGATTTGACGGATATATCCGTCTTTGGCCCACAAAAAACATAAGGTGGACGGATATATCCGTCTGCCGCCCTCAATGATAATCACAAAATATGAACACTGCCAATAATCTTGAGAATCCTTGTGGGTGGCAGACGGATATATCCGTCAACCTTAGGCTATTCCTTCCCTGGTTTTATTTTTTATCCATAAAAATGTATCTATCATTCTGAAGTAAATCTAAACCACTCAGTTCAGTTCCATGTCCTCAATCCCATTCCCCGCCAAGACTTCCACTACGTAAAGACTGTTCTTCATGTTCATCATATCCATCACATTCTATACTATTATTTTCACTGTCAAGTATAAAACTCCCCTCAGACATACTTTTATTAAGCATCTCAATAACATCTTCAAATTTCAGATCGTTTCCATTAGAAACTTTAGCTGAATAACATAAAATAAAGTACAAAACACAAAATGTAAACATCACTCACTAACAACCATGAGTGAAGTGAGACAGCAATATTTACTTACGCACACTCTATGGTGCAAAATAGCTGAAAAAGCTGCGGCAATTATTATTGTCAACCATGAAAACAAAATAACCCATTTATAATGCTGTGCAATGTTTATTACCGTATTATAAACATTGTATATCAATTTGTTTTTTGGACGGATATATCCGTCTTTAGCCACAGAAAACATACTACTTTACTATAACTACTCAGGTACTTTCAGGTACTCACTGTTCTGTTAAAGTGACAAAGAAGAAAAAAATGAACTGTTTGCTGCCAGAAAATGAAATGTATTAATAAAAATGTGTTTTTCATCCTGCACGTGCTTTGCATGGCACATGGGATTATGTACTTAATTTAAAAATTGCATGAATAAAATTGTTTGAATTTGAATATAACCCAGAATGCCAACCGCATGGTAAAAAGCATTAAGTGTTTTGAGAGAGCTTTGCCTGTCAATCGTAGGCAGCGCCACCAGCGTTGCTATGCTGAGTGCATGGCAACGCTGGTGGCGCTGCCTACGATTGACAGGCAAAGCTCTCTCACAACACTTAATGCTTTTTACCACGCGGTTGGCATTCTGGGTTATAGTAATGTTTTCTGTGCTTTAGCCCAGAAAAGAAATTTCTCGGGACGGATATATCCATTTTCAGCCCAGAAAGTAAACAAAGGTTGACGGATACATCCGTCCATAGCCCAGGAAGGGTTTATTTTTGAGTGTTGGTTGGACATTTTTGATTTTAGCAAATTTGAATCTGGCATTACTCTCTTGTACGATTCGATGGACAAAACATGCTTATAGAAAATAAGTACAGTTCTAAAAATGCATGAGACTAGCTGTTTCTGAGGTTTTATATAAATATTTTCTGTCTAAGCTCATTACTTGTTGCAATGCTACTGTGGGCGAGAGTTAAGAAGTCCTCTGAGCCAGAGTGATATGCAGCAATGTTTGTATGTTGTATTTGCAGGTGCTTTTTTCGTTTTAACACAGTGGATGTGAGCCTTGACTACTGCGTGGAACATGATTAACCCGCCCGGAGCGCCTAGCCGTCGAGTAGCAAGCGCCTGCATTTTTAGAATAGGCCAGGGCTCAGAGGACTTCTTAACTCTCGCCTACAGTACTAGTTGACTATTGAGACTTTTAAGTCCCTTTACTCCTAAGTAACAACATGTTTTTCCTAAGGTATTTTGAGTGGCAGTTGGAGCTAGCCACAAGTCACAAGTTGCCTCTATTCCTTCACTGTCGCAACGCAGCACCTGATGTAGCCAAAATTCTAAAGAAATGGCAAGATCGTCTGCACGGCGGAGTCATCCACTCATTTGATGGCTCGGCAGACGACGCTCAAATGTTCCTCAGTATGGGATACTACATTGGGATCAATGGCTGGTAAGTTCTTCCTTTAGGTTCTCATTCATCGTATTCTTAGGTTTTTGGTATGGGATCATTCAACTTATTTTTTAAATTCTACATTTCTCATTTATTTTTAATTCTCACTGGTTTAACAACTTCTTAACGTAACACTTGTGTATTGATGAAGAGTATGTTTGAAACTAATTTTGTAATGAATAATAGTACAAGTTAATAATTGAAAATTAATGACTTATAGCTTGATTGCCAATTGGTTTAAGACTTAAAATTTGAATGAAGAACCTTCTAAAAATAAACTTGAAAGATATCCTAATCTAGGCAGATAGTTAGGTACCAGTAATTATAGTAGAGGCCTAGGCTATCACCTACTCAAGGGTAGCAAATTAGTAACTATATAATGATACACTAGGTGCCATTAGGTATACAACCCATTCACATGTTAATTTTTAGCCATGGACAGTGGAAGCTCCTGTTATACCGTTTCTTACTTATACACTGACATTTCAGCCTTTCCAAACCCTGTTGATTTAGTTTTAGGTTTATCTTAGAAAGATTTGTATTTTCTAAAACAGTTCATTGAAGACTGAAGAGAACTTGGAAGTGGTGAAAATCATCCCATCAAACAGACTCCTGATAGAAACAGATGCACCGTGGTGTGAGATACGGCCGTCTCATGCCAGTGCGAAATTTGTCAAAACCTGCCTGCCTTCAGTGAGGAAAGAAAAATGGTCTCCGGACTCCATGGTCAAGGGACGGAATGAGCCAGCAAATGTTGTGTGAGTTAAATATGTCAAAAACTTTCTCTAATACAGGTAAAGTGTAAAGAGCAAAGTTTGTAGGATGTAATTTAAGAATTGTTCTAGTGGTGAGGTTTTGTTCAAGGGAAAGCTCTAGGCCGGGATTGTGATTAGAATTAAGAAATAGCAGCTAGATTACCTTAGGAAAAATCCAGGTGGACCATAGAACAGATAAAAAACAAATTCCATTCCTTGGGAGAATGTAGACAAGAGATTTGGACACAAAGTCACACTTCAAGTCTCCTAGGTGTTCTATGGCCTACCTGGACTTTTTTATCTAGATTCATTGAACCAAGTAGTGTTATACCTAAACTACACATCCGGCTAGAATTCTACCCCCGGATAATTTACCCCCATGAAAAAACACCTACGTCATTTTGACGTCACGAGGGACGGGGTCAAGAAACAGCCCGCGACTGGAAATCTACCCCCGGACATCTACCCCCAGACATTTACCCCCGGAAATCTACTCCCAGCTTCATTTTAACATTTTATTGACAGGAAACTTGCATATTCACTTCCTATATGTTATTCTTATGAATGAATATTTTAAACACTTATTTATGGACATAAGTTGACAAGTTTTGTTTTAAGGCATAACTTTCCAATTAAGTTAGGACTTATTAAGCGTTATACATTCTCTGAATATGAGAATGTGCTATGTAGGATTATTATTATCAGCTGAGTTATAAAGTTATGAATCATCTGCTATTTGGTTTGTTTACATTATGTTTTGTTCTTGTAAATAAATAGTATTGATTTAGTTTACTTAAAATGAGTTTTAATAATTAATTATTCTATATTGGAGACGAGAAAATGCCTAGGAAAACGGACCAGTCTCAGTATAAGAGTGTAATTGACTGTTGTAACATGTCTTGCATACAAGATAGAATGAGCAGATTTTCATTTAAAGAGTATAATAGGAACAATTGTGGGAAGACTACATAACTCGTTTTGAGTTGACCTGCAGAGTTAAGGGACTGGGTGGTGCTAACACAGAAGAACAAGTGGCTCGGCGAGATCTTCTATTGGCAAATATCGGAGAGGAGCACCTCAGGGCACTGTCGGACCAGATGTATCCAAGGGCCTGGGAGGAGTGCACCTACGACGAAGTCAAAGAGGAAGCCAACCGGTTGTTCAAGCCTACCAGGACCCTTTTTGCAACAAGGTTTGAGTTTGAAAGAGCAATAAGAAAAGATGGTGAGACATTTATTTTGTTTTATAACAGATTGAAGTCTTTGGCTAGAAGTTGTAAATATGGAGATAGCTTAGATGAACGAGTACGAGATAGGTTTGCAGTAGGAAGCAACTGCCCAGAATTTGAAGTTGAAGTCAGACAAAGATGGCCCGAGGGAGTTGATAACCGAGGTGAGCGTGTTAAGTCAACAGTAGTACCGGTACTAGAGTTAGCTCAATCTATGGAACGCGCGAGAGAAGAAGTTTCCAAACATTCGTGTAAAAATGAGATTTTCAAAGTAAGTGACAGTAAGGAAAATAGGAAACCAGAGGTACAGAAATCTACTGGTTTCAATAGGTGTTATAGCCTAGATGTGGGTTTACACATGACCCTAGTGAAGATAGGTGTCCTGCTGTTTCTGCTGTGTGCAAGAAATGTTCAAAGAGAGGCCACTTCGCAAGAATGTGCAAAAGTAAAAATAATTTTGTCAAGAGAACAGAAGGTAATTTGAGAAAAGTAGATGATTCTTGTGATCAAACTTACGATGATGAGTGTAGTTCTGATATTGATGTTAGCGGAACACAAATTAGGTCAGTTAAGAGTAAGGTTCCCAGAGCTACAATAGATGTAGAATTGAATGGGTATAATGTTAGAATGGAGTTTGATTCCGGGGCTCGGGTAAGTGCTATAAGTTTGTCTCTTTGGGATAAGATCAATTCAAGTGGTGAATCTCTCAAAAAGACGTCTGATGTCATCACTGGCTACGGAAAAAATAAGCTGGAAGTCATGGGTAAGGCTTTTGTGGACGTTACTTTACGTAATCGTACTAAGCGATTGCCGGTTATTGTATTACTAGAAGATGATGTTCCATTATTTGGGTTGCCGTGGAGTGTAGCTTTCAATCTTAATTTGCCTAGGGAAGTAAGGGTTAGGCGTATTGACAATGGAAAGACAAATAGTAAAGAGACAGGTAAGAATGAAGAAAGTTATAGAAAAACGTCACAAAAAGAAGTTGAGGCATTAACTCAGGAGTTTTCAGAACTCTTTCGTGATGAGCTAGGAACGATATCTGACTCTAATGAAGTTATTCATCTAAAAAGTGGAACAAAACCTGTATCTTTCGGGGCACGACGAGTTCCATTTCCCTTAAGGGAGGCAGTGGAGCGAGAATTACAGCGATTAGTACAGGAAGGAGTTTTGGAAGCAGTGGACCCTTCCGAAACACCGATAGAATGGAGTAGGCCTACCCCAACAGTCAACGTAGACAAGGGTGGAGGTAGAGTCAGGATCTGTGGCGATTTTCGTACAACCTTGAATCCAAACATCGTTCCAGAAAGACACCTCTTGCCAACCTTTGATGACTTGACTTCTAAATTAACTGATGGAAAGATATTTTCAGTCATAGATCTTCGAGACGCGTACTTGCAAATGAAAGTACACCCTGAGTCACAAAAGTACCTTACAATAGCAACTCATGTAGGCTACTTTCGCTACAAAAGGTTGCCTTTTGGTCTTTCCTCGAGTCCGGCAAAATTTCAAAGGTACATGGAAAGTTTACTAAAAGGACTTAATGTCGGAGTTCTACTTGATGATATAATCATTTCTAGTAAGGATAAGACCACCCATATAACCACTCTTAGAGAAGTTTTGAGGCGGCTAGAATCAAGTGGAATAAGAGCGAAACTGTCAAAATGTAAGTTCTTTGAGAAATCTGTAAAGTATTTAGGTCATACAATAGATGGGAATGGTATTCATCCCTCTGAAGACAAAGTTGAAACCATAAGACACGCACCAAGGCCAAGAAACGTGAAAGAATTACGAGCTTTTCTAGGGGCGCTAAATTTTTACGAAAGGTATATACCTAATCTTCATGCGATCGCTTCGAACTTGCATAAGCTGACTGGTACGAAGACTAAATGGAAATGGACTGACACCGAACAAAGTACATTCGACAAGTTGAAGAATATACTGTCATTGGAGAAGACATTAGTTCCATACGACATATCAAAGCCGATCATTGTTGAATGTGATGCTTGTGAACAAGGGGTTGGCGCAGTGCTGTTACATTTGATGCCGGATGGAACGGAAAGGCCAGTAATGTACGCCTCGAGGACACTAACCGAAGCAGAAAAAAGGTATGCTACAGTTGACAAGGAAGCACTGGCGTTAGTTTTTGCCGTGAAGAAGTTTAGACAATACCTCAGTGGAAGACATTTCAAGGTGAGAACGGACCACAAGCCACTTGAAAGAATATTTGGAATGCATCGAGATATTACCAAAGTAGTTAACAACCGTTTGGTCCGTTGGGCTTTGTATTTAATGGAGTATGATTTTGAGATCCAGTACATCAAGGGACAGGATAATTGTTTGGCTGATTTTTTATCTTGGTTTTCACTCAAGACACAAGAAGTATTGGATCCAGATGAGAGAGAGATTCGAGCATTGGTTCAGGAGAAAATTGACGTAGTTTATCCAAATCATGAACTTGTACTGGAGTATAAGAAAGATCCAAATATGAAGAAACTTATAGACTACCTGGAACATGGTTGGCCAAAAGATACAGGAAACTTACCACCATCCATGAAACCATATTGGAATAAGAGAGAAGAGCTGACATTAGAAAACGGCATAATCATGCGATTAGGGAGAATTGTGGTGCCACAGATTTTGAGAGAAAATGTATTGAAAGAACTCCACAAAGGACATCCTGGAATAGAGGCAATGAGATCCCTATCAAGGTATTATGTTTGGTGGCCTAATCTGAATAAGGATGTTGAGGTTTATGTCCGTAGATGCCACCCTTGCCAGAGTAACCGATCATTTGACACAGAAGTACCTCTATATCCTTGGAATGTGCCAAGTGATCCTTGGGAGCGAATTCATCTTGACTTCGCAGGTCCATTCGACAACCGATTCTGGTTAGTAGGAATCGATGCGTACTCAAAATGGGTTGAGATCGAAGTTATGGACCGTACGACAACTGCTGCTCTTGTAAATAGATTAAGGACTTGGTTTTCGAGGTATGGTGTTCCTAAAAAAATTGTATCGGATAATGGCACCCCCTTCACATCTCATGAGTTTAAGAGTTTTTGTAAGGACAATAACATATGTCATGTTACATCTGCGCCGTATCATCCAAAAACCAATGGTTTAGTGGAGAGGATTATCAGAACCTTCAAGAGTCGATATAGTGCTTGCAAACAAGAAGGTCTCAGTTCATCACTTGCACTTTTACAAGTGTTGCTTGCTTATCGAAATACCCCACAAAAGACCACAGGACAACCACCATCAGTCCTTTTCTATGGTAGAAGATTACCAACAGCTTTGGACAGGTGGAGGTATAATAGCAGAGAGAGAATAGAAAATCAAGTGTGGCGACAGAAGTACTATCACGACTTAAAATCCAAACAAAAGGAGTTTTCTGCCAAACAAGAAGTGTGGGTTCAAAATGAAACGAAGAAGGGCTGGAGACCAGGAACAGTACAAGAAAGGACGGGAGAGCTATCATACACCGTTTTAGTAGGGGGAGATATAAAGAGAAAACACGCTGACCAGCTGAGAGCAAGAGAAGGTGCAACTGATCCACCTCAATGGAAAATGCAAATGGAACCTGAAACTGATGATGTACATAGTTTCGAAAACTCAGCCTAAATTGGGTGGGGAGAAATGTAGGATTATTATTATCAGCTGAGTTATAAAGTCATCTGCTATTTGGTTTGTTTACATTATGTTTTGTTCTTGTAAATAAATAGTATTGATTTAGTTTACTTAAAATGAGTTTTAATAATTAATTATTCTATATGCTACAATGGGTCTTAAGCTTTAAAATGACACCTCAATTGTATATATCGACGAAGTGGGTCGGGTGAAAAAGGACTGTTACAGCTTATTGAGTTAGGAAGATAGATAATGTTAAACATGTCAACGACATATCGCATGCTTTATACTGGATATTAGAAGCTAATGAATAACCGAAGAGCCGTTGATTTACATCAACCAATTAATAAAATCAATTACAACAATGCATCTTGGCCGATACGTAGCGTAGCTGACCACGTGGGTAGATTTCCGGGGGTAGATGTCCGGGGATAGATCTCCAGGGGTAGATGTCTGGGGGTAGATGTCCGGGGGTAGATTTCCAGTCGCGGGCTGTTTCTCGACCGTGTATAGGCCCTGCCCCTCGTGACGTCAAAATGACGTAGGCGTTTTTTCATGGGGGTAAATTATCCGGGGGTAGAAATCCGCTACCCCAACTACCCTTCCTCCATCCCTTGTTGTTTTTCAATACTGTACTTATTTTGCCTTAGTTTTTACCTACAAAAAGCTAGATTGGTAAACTTGGAACGCTAAGCTGTAACCTGATTGAAGTATTTAAAAAGATTTTTTAACTTTACAAAAATTCTTCCTTAAGTTACACAAGTAGACCTCTTTAACCTCTGAATTTTAAAAATTGGTTTGCTGGTTAGGTTTTGCACTATATGAACCATTTCTAACCAGAAATGATGTTTGTTTCAGCCAAGTACTGGAAGTTCTCACTGCAGTCAGAAACGAGAATTTTGCTGAACTCTCTGCTATCATTCTGTCAAACACATATGATCTGTTCTTTCCAGATAAAATCAAGCTAGGCCTATCTATATAAATAAAATAGTTAAGTGATTTTATAAGTTATTTCACCTTTACAATTGATTAGTTAAAAATAAAACACGAGTTTTAATTTAGGATTCCTGCAATTTGGCCGCACACAGTCTTTGGGACATATCTATATAATTAATACGCTACATGAAACTTTGTCGGTTGAACTCCTCCGCCATTTCTTAACCGATTTTTTCCATTGACGTCTCATTAGAAAGAGCGTGTCACGTAGATTTGCAAACTGGCCTTACATTTTTTTAAAAGTCCCTTGGTCTCTGCCCCAGTGGCTTTGAAAGTTCCCATGTTATCCTTATGAAGAACATAATTGTTTACATTTTGATCAGCTGTATAATTTAATTGCTGTTATTTATTTTTCAATTCAATGATACCGATGAAACGCATTGAGTACATTTATTTACTATTTGAGTTTGTGTAAACATAACCCTCAAGACGGATCGTGTTAGTATGGTTGTTGGGTTGTATCTTTAATATGTGTATTTATCGTTGTTTTGTGTCGATATGATGGATCGTGTTAACATGATTGTAACTTAAATTTGTGCATTTATCGGTGTTTAGTGTAGCTATAATATGTTTATTTGTTGTTTTTTTTCTTTTAAATGCCTCCGACACGACGACAACAAAAACATAGACAGGAGGCGTAATCGTGATAACGACCGCAGCTACCGAACAGTGGCGCGTCATAGGCTTAACTCATCACAGTCAGCACCTGACCCTGGACAATCTCAACTATTAGGTTACAAACGCACTACCCCAACACGACTTTTAGTTCTTGTTATAAGGAAGATATTTTATTTTATAATTATTAAAGTGAGAAGTATTTTATTTTGACCAAGAAGAGACAAGTTAAGTTAGACAAGTCGAAGTTTGTTATTTAAGACAAGTCTGTGTTTGCTAAGAGATAAGGAGCTAACCCCCACCACTACCGCTGAGGACAAAGACGAAACGAGCAGTCTACAATGAGATCCAGGTCAGTGAACGTCTGTTCAGATCAGTGTAATTGTTTCAGTGTCGGGTTTTCTATTAAGAGTCCTAATAGTATCTAAATATACGTTTATCGAGTTATAACAGTGGCGACGAGGCCTTTTTATCGATCCAGTGCGTGTTTTTACCGTTAGAATAACTCTAACTTCGGGTTGTAAGTTTGTCAATTTTGCCGACAAGTTTTTGCTCAGTGTACGCCATTTTGAAAAGTTGCCGAAACGGTTTCTGGAACTGTGAAGTAGTAACGGTGACTCCAACTATAACAGTGACTTGCAATCATAGTTGCTTGGGAACTAGTTTTTTTTTACACTGCTACTAAAATTGACCGGTTACAAATACCTGTTACTTCTGTTATTTCTTGTTGAAGACTGCAATTTGGAGTGCTGCTGTCTGCTGTGCAATTAATTGATGCTGATCGTTGAAACCAGGTTATGTTTGACTACGAAAAGTATTTAGTCACGTTTTTATTCAAGATATGTGCATCCGTGTACTTCTAAAAGTGAAATTGAATTTTATTTATCCTGAAATATGTCTTCAAAACAAATTGTGGGAAAGATTAGTGAATTTAATGAAGAGTTGGAATCGTTTGAAAACTACGTAGAAAGGTTAGAACATTTCTTTAAGATAAACACAATCAAGGATGAAAGTAAACTCTCATTTTTTGTCTCTATTATGGGACCGATGTTATATACAAAACTTAAGGATCTTTTGCACCCTAAAAAAGTAAATGAAGTTGAGTTTGCAGAGGTTATCTCTGTGCTTAAGAAACACTATACACCTACCTGTAATACTACCTATGAAAGGTTTATTTTTAACAAAAGGGGTCAAAAAGATGGTGAATCAATCACTGATTACTCAGTTCAGCTAAAGAAGCTAGCATCTACGTGTAGTTTTGGGAATTTTTTGGATGAAGCCCTTAGGGACAAATTCTTGTGTGGGCTTAAGTCTTCTCATATACAAAGTAAATTATTAGCAGAAGGGGACACATTAACCTTTTCTAAGGCCCTTGAGATGGCACTTGTGATAGAGAACGCTGACAGAAACGTCAAATCCCTACATCCTGAAAAACAAATTTCTTCTGGGGATATAGGTTACGTTAATAGGAGATTTAACCCGAATCATAGTTCTGCTGAGAAATCATCAAAACCTCAAAACTTTAGACCTAGGGAACCACAACTGGGAAAATTTTCTTGTTACCGTTGCGGAAAGCCCCACGATCCTAATGCTTGTCCTTATGTAGAGTACACATGCTTCTACTGCAAAAGAAAGGGTCATTTATCAAACAAGTGCAGCAAAAATAAAAATAAGTTTAGGCCTAAAGGTGATAGGTTAAACATGTGTGATGTTGACGGTAGTGATGGGAGCGAGGATGAACCTCCCGTTAGCCACAATTTTGACCACGATTTGGAGCTATATACTATAGCCTATGCTAATTCTAGTGCAAAGAAGCAAAGTGGTTTTGTAACTGAAGTAATGATAAACGATGTGCCAGTTGAAATGGTAATTGACACAGGCGCAGTAGTTACAGTAATTCCTGAAGATGTCTATTTTGAAAAGTTTAATCAATCAATGCCTACCTTAGAGAGTTGTAATATTAAGCTAAAGACCTATACTGGAGAGAGAATTCGAATCTTGGGCGAGTTCCAGGCCAACGTGTCCACGGGCCGAAGCAGTCAGCGCCTGCCAGTAGTAGTCATCGAGAGCAACGGCTCACATCAACCTCCGCTATTGGGAAGGAACTGGATTGAGAAAATACAGTTGGACTGGGACTGTATGAAACCAAATGGCTCGGACGGAGAACAAAACGTCGCAGCTCTTCGTCTTACGCAAGGTAAGACTGTTCCTATTCCTGAGTTAATTTCGTCTTTGAAAAAGAGGTATTCACCAGTTTTTGAGCAAACAATAGGTGAAATTAAGGGTATTTCTGTTGATTTGGTATTAAAAGAAAATTCCAAACCTGTTTTTTGTAAAACAAGGAATGTACCTTTCGCATTACGTGAAGCCGTTGAGAACGAGCTTAACACCTTACAGAGTAACGGCATCATCTATCCTGTGACAAAGTCGCAATGGTCAACACCAATTGTTACAGTTGTCAAACCTGATAAAAGGGTAAGAATTTGTGGGGATTTTAAGGTGACAATAAATCCATGCTTAAGAACGGATTACTATCCGCTCCCCACTCCTGATGACATTTTTTCACAAATTTCAGGAGCCAAACTGTTTACAAAGCTTGATCTTTCTGCAGCGTACAACCAACTGAAGGTTAACAAATCCTCACAGGAGCTGCTAACCATAACCACCCACAAAGGTCTTTTTAGGTTTGCCAGGCTGCCTTATGGCATTACTAGTGCAGGTGCACTATTCCAGTCAGCAATGGATAAGATTTTAAACGGACTCGAAAACACTTTTTGTTACTTAGACGATATCTTAATTGTAGCAAAATCTACTGATGAAATGTTGGGACGAGTTGATGCTGTTCTACAACGGTTATGTGATCATGGGATCAAGGTAAACAATACCAAGAGTGAATTCTTTCAGGAGTCTCTGATTTTCTTAGGGCACCGCCTAGATGCGAGAGGAATTCATCAAAGTGAGGTTCTCACTGAAGCTATCGTAAACGCTCCTCGACCAGAAAACATAAGTCAACTGCGGTCTTATCTTGGACTTCTCAACTACTATGGCAAGTTTCTACCTAACTTATCTACAATATTACATCCTTTGTATAGGCTGCTAAATAATGACGTCAAATGGACATGGTGTAACGAATGCGAACGAGCATTCAAAACTAGTAAGGAACTTCTTTGCAAAGACAATGTTCTAATACCTTTTGATCCTAACCTTGAAATAATCGTTACTTGTGACAGCTCTAGTTTTGGAATAGGTGGCGTAATTGCTCACATCTTACCAGATGGTTCCGAGCGTCCGATCGCTTTTGCGAGCCGCACCTTATCAAAATGTGAGATCAAATATAGCCAGGTTGAAAAGGAAGCACTTGCCTTGATATTTGCCATACGCAAGTTCCACAATTTTCTGTACGGTCGCAAGTTCACACTGGTAACGGATCATAGGCCACTCATATTTCTATTAGGCCCTACTAAGGGGATACCTACGCTAGCGGCAGCCCGAATCCAACGTTGTGCATTAACACTAGCAGCATATCAGTATGAGATCAAATATAAGAAAGGATCGGAAATATCCAACGCTGACGCCCCGTCTAGACTACCCTGTGAAGGCTCAGGGGATGAAGGGGAAATATCCTTCTTCTCAACATCTAACGAACTGCCCATAACCTATAAGGAGTTAGCAACAGCAACCAAATATGATCCTATTTTGTCGAAAGTAATCGATTATACAACAAATGGCTGGCCTAATCTTCCGGACGAGGATCAACTGAAACCTTATCTGAACAAAACAGCTCAACTTTCTGTTGATTCCAACTGTCTACTATGGGGCAATCGAGTGATTATACCGCCTACTCACCGTAAGGAAGTTTTAACATTACTGCACACTGAACACCCAGGTGAATCAAGAATGAAGTCGCTTGCTCGGAGCTATGTGTGGTGGCCTCGGATGGACCAAGACATCGAAGAGATGGTAAAGGGATGCATGGTTTGTCAGACAACCCGGAAATCAGCACCACTAGCGCCACTACAGCCTTGGACTTGGCCTAAACATAACTGGCAAAGATTACACCTAGATTTCGCCTATCACGAGGGAAAGGAATTTCTCATTATTGTAGATAGCCATTCAAAATGGATAGAAATTTTTTACATGCCATCTACAACAGCCAGCAGGACGATTGAGAAACTCAGACACTGTTTTGCAGCATATGGTCTTGCTTCGACAGTGGTGACAGACGGTGGCCCACAGTTCACCTCCCAAGAGTTTGGTGATTTTTTGAGATCAAATGGTGTTAGTCATGTCTTGACGCCTCCCTATCATCCGGCCTCAAATGGCCTAGCGGAACGTGCCGTACAAACCGTTAAAGACGCCTTTGTGAAGCAAATGTTACAGGATGAT